AATTTTCGTCAATCATTTTGTGAACATAATATAAAAGATTTTACAAATCCTGCTAAAAGTGGTTCATTAATGTATAGAACATTTGATGATCTATATTTGTTAAAAACATTACGTGGATATGAAGCACGTTTATTAATAGATATTTTATCTGGTTATCGTTCACAATTAGTAAAACGTCCAACAATATTTAATCGTTATGTTGGTTTATATTCTATACGTTTTCGAAGAGTAGTATCATCTACTTTTTATATCGCTATTATGGTAAATGCAATGACACCATCATTAAATATTAATCAAATATTTGATTTGAAAGGTTCAACTATTAAAAGAAGATCACAAGGAAATTTATACCAAGATAAATTACAGCAGTTAAAAGATCAGGATTTTTTGGAAACATATCCACATGGAATACGTATACCATCGAATATTCATCATCGCTTATATACAGTGATATCAAATGATATTAAAGTTTTAAAAAAATTGAATATAGTTGATTTTTCTTTATTACTTGGAATTAGACATTTAGATAGATCAAATAGTGATCTTATGCAACCTCAACCATCAAATGGTATAGCTGCTCTTTTTAGTACAGTACAGAGTCTTGCCGTATTTTGTACAAAAACACATCTACTTCGTGATTCATTACCAGATTCTCAAATTGACTTAACATCTTTACCAACTTCATATTTAAAACCAATGCAAATGATTCGTGAAAACATTGATACAAATTTATTTTATAACAATGATCCAGTTGCTTCTGCTAGTTTACCAATACCAGGCATTATAAATAATAGTGATCAACGTGTTTATTTATATTTGTGTATTATTGATATGCTTCAACCATTTGATTGTCGTAAATCTTTAGAGCAAAAATTTAAAAAACTTACTGATCCTAATCGACATCATCAATATTCTCTTATTGAACCAGACGAATATGAAAAACGACTTTTAAAATTTTTATTTGAAAAAGTTTTTATTCATGCTGGTGATGATTTTCCATGGCCTTTAACTGATGTTAACGATCCTGTTACTGATACTAATAATGAATTATCAATAGAAAATAAGAGGCCTATAAAGAAAAATCGTATTCGTAGACGTCAGCATTCAATTCAACATCGTAAAAATTCAACTTCAAACATTGATAGCGAAACTGATTTATAAAATTTTATTTTTTATTTCTTATTTTTTGTACATTAACAAACAATATATGCATCGATTAAATTGTTCATTCTAAGTTTTTGTTTTTTACTTTAAAAAAAGTCTGGTTTATAACCTTGTCTAAGATGAACAATAAAAAGTACACTAACTAGAATGCCAAATACTCGTAATACAAGTTCTATTACTCGTATAATAGTCCATTCTATACGTATTGAATTTTGTCCCATATAACGAATTTCAACAATACTTTTCACCAATGTTAATATAAATATTGCAATTAATATCAATAGAGATACAATAAACATTCTCAAACGACAATACCATAAAGCAAATATTGCATATAGAACAAATATAAACATAAATATACCAAGAATGATAAGAATTATTGAATCATGTATTGGTCGAAAATGTAATATTAAACCACAAATACCTTGAATTATATATTCATATATGCCAGTGGAAATAACTTGACCATAGAAAAGTGTAAGAATTATTTGAAGCCAACGTGCTGAACAATTAGATAAATACATCGTTCGAACGTTAAAAAAAGCAACGATAGAGAAACTGAATGAAAACAATATAGACTGTTTTCATATATACTGATTAGATAGAATATCAACTTGATATTTTACTGTTTTGTTTTTGTATGACAATCTGTTGCCATGTATTTATGCGTAGGTGGATTGTTAATCATATTGTATTTGCAATTTAAAGTTATATACATATCTCAATAGTTAACATTCACATGTATTTCAAGAAATTTACTTGTTATTAAATATTTTCTCAAAGCAATTTTACTCAATCGTCTTATCATACGAATTTATTATTGTGTTGAGTTCAATAATTGTTTTGTCTACTATTGATTATAATTATGTAGAAAAATACAACTATAAAAATAGTTTCAATAGATTGAAAATTTGAACTGTCTTGTTTTTTAATCATTGAACAAACATCAGTTAAATAAAATTAATTTTCCTGCGAAATATTGAATTATTAAATGTATATTAATTGAATTGTTCATTCAAAATTATTTATAGTAGTAACAACACGTGTTTGCTGTTTTTTTTTTTCTAAATAGATTATTATTTCTTTCAAAATTGTGAATAGAGTAGAACGAATTCTTCTAACACAAATGTAAGTTAAAAATTTAATATCTATATGTCATAAACACCTTTCTTTTCAAAACCTAATTTACAAAAATCAATACAACATCTTATTAATCAAGAAAAGCAAAACCTGAAACTTTTCTTTTCTAAATAAATCAATTAATGTCTTTGCATACCCAAACAATATTTGTCTTCATTAACAAAGCAAAAATCACTTTTTTTTTTCGAAGTTATTTACGAGAAAAACTTCATTTCTATTGAAGTATGCATGTCTGCAAAAAAAAATATAAACAAAGAAAAAGAAACAAAAGTAACTGCTGCTGCCAACAAATGGCATCATCACACTTTTACATTGTATGTATAATGTTCAAGTGTTGAATGTATATACATTCATCATACTCACATATAGACATTCTCTGTTGACATAGCAATCTTGTTGGGTGTCACTGCGTATGAAACATTAACTGTAGTAAACACATTACATTACAATTATTAAAACTATATGATTCAATGCAGATAGCCACACTTAATTATCGATATAATCCTAAAGAAAATGTTAATGGTGATTCTCGAACAAAATTACGCCATCGTCAAATTCTTACAACAATAACAAATCCACAAAAAAAACATAAAAGACGATCATTATTCTCTGATCTTAGTACACATTCAAATGTTCCATTACCACCAATAAAAACTAAGGGTAAACGTCCAAGTTCAATACGTATTAAAGGTAGTAGTATAACATCATCAAAATTAGGTGATACATCAGCTTATTCCGTACCTCATCAATCACGTTCACATAGTCGACAATCAAATAGAAGTAATATATCAGGTGCAAGAAGTAGATCAGTATGTTTCCTATAAAAATAGCAAAACAAACAATAGTTGTTTTTTTTTTCTATTCGAAATATTTATTTTTTAACATAGGTTTCACCTGGAGGACCATCAAGACCAATATCGAAATTAAATCGTCTTAAATTTGGTTATCCTATCAAATTACGCTCAGCTGAATTCTATGGTCCAGATAAGAGTGACACGGAATTACATTTAAGGGAAGAATCATTTGTTAATGATTCTATACGTTCTGCACATCAAAGTCGTCGTTCATCAATTATACCGCTCTATGAACCACTTGATGATCCACATTTAAGAAGATTTTTTCAATCACCTGTTATTTTGGATATTGTACGTAAAACATTAAATATTGATGCTAATAATTCATATAAACAAGATGAACGATCATCAAAAACTTCCAAGTTTAAAAAATATTCAAAAATAGTAATAACAAATAATTAAATCAAAAGTATTATTTTTGTCTTTTTTTTCTTTATTGTATAGAAAGATTCAGATGCACATCTTGATGGTGATTATCTTCGATTAGTAACCAAAGGTTCATCTGGTTATGGAAAATTAAATGGTTATGATTGTATACCATCTTATGCACCTGCTCGTAATTACCGTCGTCGTTCAAGTACAGTGGATCCAACACTATCAAGTTCGAAACGTTGGAATACAATGGAATCTGGTTTACATCGATCAACAGCACAAGATAAACATCATGCATCAGCAAATACATCCATAACAAGTTTTCCAACTAGTAATAGTAATCTAATAAAACAAAACAAGAAGAATCAATCTCATAAATATGAGAAATCAAAACAACCTAAACCAATTGCAACATCATCACCATTAAGACATCCTTCACGACATACAGTAGAACAAATAACAACAAATACTGAATTATCATCAACAGCCAAAACGGATGACTATATTCCTGAACATAAAAGTGAAATTACAGTACCTTCTAATTTATCTCAGGATTAACATTATATTTACTATTGTATAAAAAAAAATCCTCTTCAAATTCAAACAAACCGAACAAATTATCATTCGTTTTTTCTACTTTATTAAAACTCTTTCTTTTTTTAAAATTAATACATTTTGCTTCTATTGCAAGAAAAAAAAAACAAGTATCAATGGAAACTTCACAAAACAAAACAAAAACACATTAGTTTGAGTATCTCATTTAATACTCCAAAATTCAATCGAATCTCCAAAAAGTTTCTACATCGATTCATTTTCATTGAACAATGAATAAAACCAATTGTGAAGTTACTCCTTTAATTAAGATTATAACCGAAATGTGAATTCTTCATTTTTATATATGTACAGTTGTGTTTCCTATAAAATTGAAGAAATATATATTCATTTAAATGTATTAAATCAAGAACATATGAAATTCTAATCGGAAAGTTAACTTTCAGACTCTTATGAAACGTCCTACATTAAGGGCATGGGTTGTTTTTTTTGTTGACAATGCACTTTGTTCTTTCTATTACGTATACGTCAGAACTTGTCTCATTTCTCGCTTCAAGTTTTATTAAAAATCATTTTGTATAATAACTTACAAAATTCATTCCATTTCGTAGATAAAGAACAAAATACAAATCGAACAAGAAACTTCATTCATTTGATCACTATAATAAAAAAAGTAAAAGAAAAACAAAACATTGGAATTCATTGAATAAGACATGCCATTAGTACTTCTATTCATTTTAAATGATTTTTAATCGACTATATCGAAAATTTTAAAAATATACTTACTCAAATTGACTTACTTTTATTGAATATTCGATTTTACTGATTAAAAAAATGTGAAGATTTTTTCAAAACATAAATTTTCTTCATCACCCTTTTCTTTTTCTTGGTGTTCATATTTTCTCAGCTATATGATTCATAAAATCTGGTATTAAAATCACTTGAATTTGACCTCATCATAATATACTTTGATAATATCAATTACATAGAATAGAACTTTTGTTTGTATGACAAGCTATATTTTCTTTACCGATACTGATTTGTATGATTCAATGTGTATGCAAATATCAATGTTCGATTTAATTCTAAACAAACAACAAATTATTAATTATAATTATTAAATTAAACTTATTAATATAACAAAAATAAAAGAATCTAGTCACATTAATTTTAATCATGTAATAATGCGGTCTTTCTCAAGCATTATCTTAGCTGATCTACAATCGAAAATAAAGATGTGCGAGACCAAAATTTGAAAGTTTCCCCAACATGTCTGCAATTGATTCAGCATAAGAAAATACAAAGAATACGATGACATTGAATCGAGTACAGCTGTTTCCTTTGCCATAAATATACAAAATGAAAATTTCGAGTCTCATATGGAATATTAATACAGAATGAATATGTCTTAATCAAGTTTAAAGATATTTTACTATTTGTTTGATATTTGGCCTACAAGGATGTGTTTGTGAGACTAGTAAAACTCTAAAAGAATTCCTTCCCATAGACTTTTGAAGACAACTTGGGATCATTTTACTGCATTTTCAACCTAGCTGTAAGTACAACTAAAAACTCAAGAAGCAGAATTTCGACATCAAATTTTGCCCGTATATAAGTCTTATGACTAGAGTCTATCGAGTGCTACCCAGATCCAAATCCGACCGGGTCCGGGTTTGAAAAGTTCACTGATCGAATCTCGATTGAGAGCAAAATTTGATTCATATAATAATATTTCATGAATTTTTTTGAATTTTTGTTCGTTTTATTCAAAAAACCTTAACCTTATTTATAAAAAGTAGAAAATTGTGTTGCCTCATAAAATATGATTGAATTTTCATAATTTTTTATTAAATCGGAAAGTTCGTTCTTCTTTAGAAAGAAATTCATACTTTTTTATTTTCATATTTTCTCATGCATATAATTCAGTAAAAAGCAATTCTTTATTTATCATGGAATATTTGATGAAAAAAAGAGATAATATTCAACCTTTATAATGCATGCTTTCATTCTTTCATCAGAAGCTTTTGGTTAGCAGTAGAAACTAATTGTAATTAATTATTATGGAATCACTATCGAATCGTGTAAAGAATATGTGAAGTATGCTACTCATGAAACAGAAAAAAATAAAATAGTATATCGTATGTTCGGAGCGGCAATTAGCATCTGATTAGAAAAATCCATTAAGAGTTTTAAGAGTACCCTTAAATATTGGACCCCGAAAAAATTGATCCATAAGGTCCGAGTTCAGATCCAGAAATTCTTGGATCCGATGGGCTCTACTTATGATTGATAGAATATCCATAAAGTTTCTGCCGACGAAAATATTTTTTTTTGGAAATTCAATATTTCGACAAAAGAACACTCTTTTCTCCCGAGACTTTTATGACATTTTACAGGTCACTCGATCTATCCTATGGACATAATTTCATATTCCATTTCTGCTTTTTGATTTTGCGGTATATATCTAAAGCTGGCATAAAAATCTAGTAAAACAATCTTAACTCAGCTCCAAAGACCATAAAAGCGAGTCCTTTTAGATTTTTTCTAGTCTTAAAGAGATCTCCTTATGAATCCAATATAAGCTAAAACGGTGGATGATTCCGTTGTAAATAGTCGTTCGAATGTATTTGTATAAAAGATTTGTAATTAATAAAACTTTTCTTACCTATACATTTTAAAACCATTTAATAGGAATTCATTATCATTCAAATTATTAAAAATTTGTTTTTCTCTGAAAATCTCAAACTAATTGTTTACTTTTATTCTATCTTCATTTGCTTATTATTATCTATAATGAAAAATCGATTAAAATACTTTTTTTTTAAAGAAATTACTTACCCTGATTGAATACTTGTCTTTGTGTAAACCAAAATCTGAGATGTTTTCTTCTAATTTCTACATTAAATATTTAACAATAATTTTTTCGACAAAGAATTTATTACATAACATGAATAATAAGCAAAACAAATTAATGTCATCATACACCTTTTTTTTAATTTGTCTTGTTATAGCGATGATGGTATAAATATAATATTTTATCATATATATAGATATATGTGTGTTGGTAAGTTTTTAAAAAAAAGAGAAAAGGAAGAAATAAAGAGACAAGAGTCCATCTTTGTATACACGCATACACACAAACAATAAGTATACAAAGAAGAGAATGATTGGTTGTTCTTTTATTATTATTATTAATAATAATAATAATTAAATAGTGTTCATTTCAATTGAATTATTATCAATATTTGCTTTAGCCATATATTTGTCAAGATCACTATCAAGGATTTCTTTTGTAAAATTTGTATTGTTATTATTATTTTTATTTCGATTTCGATTTTGATTTTGATTTTGATTTTGATTTCGACCATTTCCACGTCCTCGCATAAAATTTTTATTACCATTAGGACGTCCTCGATTTGATCTAATAATAAAAATAAAATCAATTTCTTTTGTAAATAAATTAAAACTCTTTTACCTATTTCCAAAACGTCGACCTCGATTATTTTTATTATTGTTATTTCCACGTCTTGTAAAACCACTAAATCGACTAATTGTATCATTATTTAAATAACCACGTGTTCTCGAACGAAATATACGTGCTAATCAAATAATAATTCATATATAAGAATGATCATATTTTTGATAAACATACTTCCAACTCGACCTTGTCCTCGAAGTCGTAAACCCATACCACTTTGTCCACCATATAAAAAAGAATTAACACCACCGCCACGACCACCACGTCTTCGATCTCCAAAACTAATACGCTGAAAAACAGGTGCTGGTCGTGGATTTGTATATTGACGATTAAATGTAGCAGCATTATTACCCATGCCAAGCCGATAATTAATACTTCGCTATAATGAAATAATCAATTGAAAACAATGAAAATTGAAATTAGACCGAAAATGGTCAAATAAACGACATTAGAAATAGCGCTTTGATACATACGGTAGAATGTCTCTATAGTGAATACATTTTAGAGTTTAGGTATCCACTATGGAAGATTTTACGGATATATTATTAATAGAGTTATAAAATAAGAAAATATGAACATTCTTATTTTTGTGAGAAAGCTATGAGATATGTTTGTTATGTTTTTAAGTCTCGTCCTGATGAATTTACAATTAAATTTTACAATATAATGTTTCGTTCTTTTTTCTCCAGTTCATGTGTAATAGTGATACGAAAACAAGTTGACCTTGGTTACAACTGGTACCTTTCATATTTCATAGCACTATCAAATATGGCTTGAAGAACACGAATGAATAGGCAAGGTCATTATCATTTCAACATTGTCTGCAGAAGTTTTTCTTAACAATGAAACATTATATTGTAAAATTTAATTATTTTATAATAAATTTACCAGAAAATGACTTGAAATTATGACAAACTATTTTTAATTTATTATTGAAAAAAAAAATATCAGAACAAAAGCTGACATCTAATGAGATTACTATTTATAAAAATTCTCCAATTTTATATTAAAATAATCTCATTTAACTAGTGATGTAATCAGAAAAAATAAATCTAAAGGAAAGAGCTCAACAACTCATAAAGTTCCCTCTAGCTACTTCTCATTATATAATTACGCCATGAAGTATATCTCTTAAGAAATTTGTTCAATGATGTTGATCGAACTACTTCATCATGTGTAGTTCTGATTATATTTCTACAGGCATTTTCATATAATAACGATCGTAAAATAAAACAAAACGATACTAATACAATCCAAACAATTACTAAGTAATGTGTTATATTTAGAAATAAATGATGAATTATTTATGTTTACTTTTTTAAGACGATTTGCAATGCTCATTGTTGCCGATTGTTTATTTCCGAATAATTCTTGTCGAAATTTAGGAATTGTTACGCTTGTTTGTTGTTGAATACGAGGTATTGGTGCAGGTTGTTTAGCAATTTCACTAAATCTATTTGAAATCATTTAATGATATTATTTAATTATAATATAATTCATACCTTTGATCAAGTGTTAATTTTGTACCTGATTTTAAAATAATTTTGCCGGTAATCATTGCTTTCTTTTTTCTTCTATGAAATTAATGAGTGAGAAAAACAAAAAAACAAAATGAATATAAATCGCAATTATTTTCCTTATGATACGCTAATGGGCATAAACAATAAGCAATTGCTCGATTGGTTTACAAAAAAATAATGTAAGAAATCATTTATAAAGAAATATTTTTTTATGCATATTTCTGCGTTTTTTAAATTTTTTTCGCATAAAAAAACTGTTTTTTTTTCGTTCTTTTTTAAAGAGTCCTTTGTGCAAGTTTTTATTGGTTTAGTATTTTAACCAATAAAGATATGAGTTAAATTCGGAAGAATTACGTTTGTATTATCAACTATTTTTGATTTTCATAGAATATGAATTTTCAATATTCAGTCGGTGTTAAAATCGGTAGCGGTGATGTTATCAATATATTAAAGTTAAATTGTGATCGATGCAAACGACTTCGACAATTAATTCTTGGAATAATGAATTTTACAAAAGATCTTTATGTTATGAAAACTCATTTAAAAATATATAAAGATAAAATCGATTTAACTTTACATAATAAAAGAAGATTCTTATTTGGTTCATGTACAATTAAATGAATATCAATCGAATTTGTAAGTTTATTGAGAAACTAAAATTTTAATACATTCAAATTACAAAAGATTTGATGAAAAATAAACGAAAGTTTACGTGATACATCGAGAGTTTTAGACTAATTTGATGGTTTATCATTGAATAAAATTGAAGTCTGTATTTTGAAAAACTTTGTATATCAAAAAAATAATTGTTGATAATTATCTCAATATAATTGCGAGTCATATAACAAGAGGAGATAACATCCTGTCAAAAGGATACTAGCTATCATTGCAATGAAACGTTCATAAGTGATGTTTTAGCTATTCTATTAAGTGATATTGGATATGTCACTTTAAGTCATTATCTAAAAATTTTCTTTCTATCAAAGAATTTATCTTAAATGCAGTATAGATTAAATTCGACTGATTTAAAAGTAATGTTTAGTAAACTAAATCTATTGATAGTTGAATAATGTCGAAATTTATTTCATAGTAATGCAATATTAAAGTAACCTTGATATTAGAGGTTGACAAGTTCAGATGTAAGGAACTATTGAAAATGTTCTTTCATCTATTTAATAGCGTGTTCTCTTCCGGAGTGGTGTTTCAAAGCTCCGAACGGACGAGCACCTATTTTTGGGAGCACAGACACTTAGTTTGTTGCACAATAATCTCGAACACCGAGAGGCACCGCCTCTACGCTGTATAAAACACGACCGTTCAAACAGTTCTTTTCATAAGAACTGATCGACTCCTATTGAATATTTTTTTTGTTTGATAGAGCAAAGTCCGAAAGATATAATTATAAAATAAAAAAAGTCTTATTTCAAGTTAATTTATACTATGTGTAAATATTCACTGTTGAATAGAACTTTAATAAAATTATTTGTTCTTATTCATTTTTCGAAGTTTTTCTGAAGTTAATTTTTCTCATCGTAAAATCTAACTTTGAATTTTGGTGTCTCTTAATCTTTTTTTATTCTTTAAAATTTGATGTTCGAACAAGAAAAAAAACGTACAATTAAATAAATGTCGAGATGTGTATTCCGGTATGATTTTTACATGAAACTCTTGCATTCATTCTATTGTATGATGAAATTTTTTATTGAAAGGCACGATCTGTTCTACGTCATTATCAATAGATACTAATTAGAATTCTACCAATGAAATCTCATATGAAAGGTCTAAGTTATAAAAGTAAATTGATTTTATATGATCTTTCAATTAACTGTTTATGTAAAATTCGATCTATTCAATAATATTCAATAGAGATCATTAATTTTCCATTAGATACGAAACAACAATCACTTAAATAAATTACCCTGAAATAAGAAATAATATTGTTCAAAAACATCGTTTTTTATTTTCAAGTATATCAAAACAATTACTTTTTTTAAGTGAATTTATTTTACTTTGAAATAATTCATAGAAAAAATTTGTTTGTTTTCTATTTTGTTAGATTTCAAGTCGGAAAGTTAATAAATCAATAGGTATATAACCCAGGTCCAGGTGAAAGGAATGAAAGTGCGTTCGAAACGGAGGAACGCGTGCAAATACTCACAGAGAATTTGAAAAAGAATAGCCTCGAATGCACTGTATGTCAACAGACGAATATATTCTGAGTCACTTATTCGCAACGCGTTCGTTTGCTCGGAGCATTTTTCAAAACGTGTGTTTCTAATAAACGAATGGGTTTTTGTTCTGTTTATCTCGATCTGGGAAATAAAACAGATTTGAATTGGTGTACAAAAAAAAATAATGAATACTCATCCGTTCTTCATTGCTCAATAGGTTATTTTTTTCTCTTTTTGCAAATTACTCCTAATCTTGAATCACATAAACACTTAAATGTTCATTCATCATTAAGTATTCGATTATTATATGCTCTAGTACCGTTTGCATTATTTGTTACTATATATTGACCACAACTATAAATCTTTATGTGGAAAGTACCTTTCCTTAGACATATTGTTTTTTTGTTATGCACGAAAAATAAAGGAACTATATTTTCCCTCAGGCTAGTATATCAATATATATTTATATGTGAGTACGTATGTAAGTATTTCTCTTATTCAATCGACATATGATACCCGTTACTTTGACTCGATCGCTTCCTTTCGATATTGTTTCATATGTGTGATACTATTTGTTCAATTGGATGTGTTCAACAACTCATTCTTTCCTTTTGTATATACACATGTCACGTAATAGAAATTTTTCGTTTAGACAAGTAATATTTGTACATTTTACACTTTAACGCTCCAAGGCGAAATGATCATACATATAATTAATGAATAATATATACTCATCGTAGTAGAAGTCACTGTAGTTATTTTCATTAACGACCATGTCCAGTAACTAATTGAAGATTTGGTCATGTAGTCTATACGCATTAGGTCAACTTATCCTCTATTTTTTCTTCTGAACAAATATTGACCTGTGGTCTTGATCTACATCAAGATAATGATAAAAAAGAAAATGAGTGAATAAATGTAAAAGATTATTTTTTGTTCCATGTCGTGTATGCGTGCTCATATTTAATTCTGTTCTCTTTTTTTTTCTTCTGCTCTTTCTTTTCTCTTATGACACAAAATGCGAGAAAGTTGTCAGCCAAATGAGACAGAGGGTACGCACAAAAGCGACATTGAAATCGACTGTTATTCTCTGAAAAAAAAAGAAGTACGAGTAGGCGGAGGGAGCAAAGAAAAAGAAAAAAAGATGGAATCATACAAAAAAAATAGAATGGGGTATTAATCGGTTTTTTTTTGTCGACCCATTTACATGGAGATAAGAAACAACAATGGAAGTGATGTATTTTGTGAGTAATAGATTGAAGAGTATTGGTTATGTAAAGAGAAAGAAAAAATGAAAATGTTTATTTTTGATAAAGTTCGAGTTGTCTTTCATAGGCTATTCAGTGAGTGTTTTATTCAAAATACATCAACACACTTTCATTGCTTGGTTTTTTCAACTTGCAGTCGTCAAACAACATTTTTCTTTCCTTTTCTTTTTTTTTCTAATAGCTTTTTTTTTCATTTTATACACATTACATATAACTCCCTTTCATTCCTATACCTTAGTGGTGGCAAATTGGTGTCCTGTTATGTCTATTCAATTATGGAATCTAGTCGATGAATATGATGGGACAGATTTTGTTAATGATTATACTACATAAAACAATGATAAAAATCAATAACTGTCAATGATGTCATATATCGAACAACGTGAATGGTGTTCGTCCTCGATTTCATCTATAATGTACCCCTCAGTTGTTAACAAATCAACAGAACCTTGTCCTATATCATCGTCGTCTCTTATTACAACGTCATTAATCTCAAATAATCATAGTACACCTATCAGTAATAACTCTACATTATCATCATTACAATCATATGGAAAAAGAGAAAATACATTAACACATAGTATAGGTTCATCATTAAATAATTCCAATGATTATTATACACAAAAACGTATTGAAGAATTACATGAACGTATGGATGATATACAAATATCAAGTTTTTTAAAATTTATTAATTATCATTTATCATTAGAAAAAGATGAAAAGAAAAATTTTATAAATGATTTATCAAAAGATTTATGTAATGGTCATATTTTAATTGATTTAATTGAAATATTATCATCAACTAAATTAAAACGTGAACATGGTCGTACACGTTTTCATTCATTAACAAATGTTCAATATGTTTTAGATTATTTAAAATTACGTATGCAACATATTGATATAACTCCAGATGATATTGTATCAGGAAATCGTAAACAAATCTTAGCATTATTATGGATTATAATAAGAACATTTGACCTTCCAGCATTTCGTATAACAAATAAAAATTGTTTTGTAGAAAAAACACTTTTAGGTTTTGGACAAGATCGTAGTACAATTATAAATTGGTTAAATAATATTTTAAATCAAAGTTTAAATACACATGAAATTTATATTAAAGATTTTTATATTCATACATGGAATAATGGGTATTATTTATCAATAATTATTAAATATTTAATACCATTAAGTATAAATTATTTAACCAACCAATGTTTTGATTATTTAAAAGAATTAGAAAAATTAAATTCTTATGATAGACAACGTTTTTTAATATGTTTAGATATTTCAAAGTATTGTTTTAATACAATAACAATTATTGATTTCACAGATAAAAGTGAAAATTGTTTATTTAAATATTTTACTGAATTAAAACGAAATATTTTAACTATTCTCAAAACAAATCATATCGAAAAATTGATTCAAAATAATTCTTATGCTAAACAAGTACTTGATACAGTCATCCAAACAGGAACAGGTAAATACCAGAGAAATGTTGAGATGATGTAATAGATTAAATCAATATATATGTATACATTTTACTGTTTGTTTATAGAACATTCTGCGCATATAATTAGTAATAATGAAGAATATTTAAGTTGTATTGAAGATGATCATCAACAAGTTTCAACAAAACAACATATACAATTGCCTATAGATTCTATAGGTCATTTAACATCATCATCATCAAATAATACTGTTGAATTATCAGATTTGCGAACATTAGAAAGATCAAGATTGTTTTATGATGAACAACAAGAAGCAAAATTAAAACGAAAATATTCTTCGGAGAAAATTGAGGATTTACAAAGGTATTGTTAAAAAGAAGACTGTCATAGTGAACAGAACAAAGTCCTTGACCTTTTACGGAATGAATGTTAAAGTTTTGATTAAAGAGATAACATAGAAATGAAATTTATTTTTCAACTATTGACATTTTCATTTCTAACAAGACTTAGTTAATCAAATAAGATGATTGTTGACGATTTTTTTGAGATTTTCATTATAGAACAGAGAAACTTGTTGAATATATTTGTTTTTTCAATAATTGATACCTAATTCCAACAGCTAATTAATTAAAATAGAACATTGTTTTTTTCAAAAAATGTTATCTGCCCCCTTGTTTTAGACTTTATTTTTTCTTCATACCCATGATGAAGATAATAGGTCATTATGTTGTTTTTATCAAAAATATAATATAGGACACTTGTGTAACTGATATAACCATATCTCTAAAAAGAAAATACTATCCTTTACAATTGAATTTATCTATTTACAGTAATTTCCATATGATGAATGTCCATAATGAAATATCGAAAGAAGAACAGATTGAAACAAAAGCTGATCAATCACAACAACAACTTAATAGTTTAGTTGAAAATTCCCAAGAATATCTATCATCAATTAAACAAAGTGAACATGATACAAACAATTATATAGATGCAGAGCAACCAAAATCTTCAATTGAAAATTCTGAGCAATTTCCATCAACAATTGAAGCAACTAATATTTTTAATGATGAAACCAAAGAAATCATCATACCATATAGGGAAAATCAACCAAATGAAAAATCAGAACAATCTATAATTCAAATACATGAACCAGAAAAAGTTCTTAAATCAAATGAAGAAAATAAACAATCTACAGATGATTATGAACAATTACAACAAATTATAATACTACAAAAAGAAATTGAACAATCTATTGAAAACAAAAGTTCTATTACTACAGATGAAACAGTAGAACAATCAACTTGTATAAGTAAAGAATCATCACAATCTACAGTAGTCAATGTAAATGTAGACAAAATTACAATTGAAGAACCACAACAACAATCTTTGTCGTCAAACGAAAACGAAAAACAATTAAAAACTCAATATGAAAAATTAGAAGAAGCAACAAACCAATCAATAATACCAATCGAAGAAAATGAACAATCTACAGATGATTATGAAAATTCACAAGAAATGATAGCGTCACAAAAAGAAATTGAACAATTGATTGAAAATGAAAATTCTATTCCTACAGATAAAACATTAGAACAGTCGACTTTTATAAATGAAGAATCATCACAATCTATAGTATTGAATGAAAATTTCGAGCAAATTACAAATGAACAACCAATAATATCAAATGAAGAAAATAAAAAATCCACAGATGATTATGAACAGTCAGAACAATTGATAATGTCACAAAAAGAAATTGAACAGTCTGTTGAAAACAAAAATTCTATTACTTCAAATCAAGAATTAGAACAGTCTACCTTTATCATCAAAGAATCATCACAATCTTTTGTATTCAATAAAGATTTAGAACCAAGTACAACAGAAAAACGAATAATATTAAATGAAGAATCACAACAACAATCTATCAATTCAAACGAAGAACATAAACAAACGAAAAATGAATATGACAAATTAGAACAAACTCTAGCATTAATTAAAGAAATTGAACAAACAGTTAATAATGAAACTTCTATTATTGAAACTGACCAATCAAAAATTAAAATAGACGAACAAGAACAATTTCTAACATCAAACGAAAACATCCAACAATCAGATGTTGAAATCGAATCATCAGAACAAAAAACATTACCAATTACTGATAATATACCTTCTATAAATAGCAATGAAAATATAAAACAATCTATAATTACAATTGAAGATACAATACACCAACAATCGAATACATCAACTGAAGTAACTCATATATCTACAATGGAAGATGAAGAATTGAAACAACCGATTCTAAATAAATCTTCTATTATTACAAATCAAAAATTAGAACAATCTTCAATTATTAAATCACCACAAATTCTATTATCAAATGAAGATAACGTACAAAATACAATAAATCTTGTTAACAATGAAAATTCAATTATATCTAATGGAAATTTAGAACAATCTATAATTAATATTGAAGAAAAAAAAGAATTTACTATTGAACCTGAAAAATTAAATCAATCATCAGTTCAAATTGAACATACTGAAGAATTCATTGAAAATAAATCTTCTCCTATGACAAAAAATAAATTAGATCAATCCATAAATATCGAATCAACACAATCCTTATCATCAGACAATGACCTTCAACACACAACATTAATAAATCTTGATAATTATATTATTACAGTCGATGACAGTTTAGAACAATGTACAACTCAACAATCATTACAAGATAATGAAATATCAAATGAAAAAACATTTATTGAAAATGATTCATCAATTATAACAAATAACAAATTAGAAAAACCTACAGTTATAGAATTACCTCAACCCATCAAATTAAATGAAGACATTCGTCAATCAACAAATGAAAATCAAGAATTCATTGATAATACTGAAGATTTAATACAAGCAGTATTATCATATCAAGAAAATCAATATTGTGCTACTTCAAATGAGCAGTTAATACCATCTAAAATAATAGCTAATCAACCTGAACAACATACATCTCCAGCTAACCAACCAATATTAACAAAAGCAACAACAATCAAAGGTACAAGTTATTCTGATGTTGTTAGTAGACAATTACCAAAAGCAACAAATCAACCAATAAAAGCTCCAAGTTCATTTAAAAAACAAGAACATTCAATAGAATCAAAGAAAAAAATCATTTCGCCTATAGTAACAATGGAAAATCCTAAAAAATCTAACAAAACAGCTGATGAAACAGAACAAATTCTTTTGACAAGTACAATTAAAGAATCAGAACAATCTGAAGTATTACTTGGAAAACAAAAACAATCTACCACTATCAATGAAATAGCACATGATACATCAATAATATCAAATGAAGAATGTCAAATATCATTAACAAAAAGTAATAAATCAAGACGATCTAATGCTAAAAGAAGAAAATCAAAAAAATCATCAGTTACAATGGAAAATTCACCACAAATTATTATTATTGATGACGATGGCGACGACGATGACGAAGAAGAAGAAATCGAAACATCATCACCTTCTCAAAATCTTAGTATTTCAAAACAAAAAACAAGTAATATTGAATTAAAAATTAAAAATTCAGTAACAAATAAAAAACCATCTAATGATAATAAATCCTCAAATTGGTAAATACTTGATGATTATAAAAAAAAAGACAAACAAATACTTTTACATTTTTTTTTTGTAGTGAAACTCCACAAAATTTAAGTGCCTTACAACATCGTAAAAACGAAAACAACAAGAAAACAACAACAAAATTAGTCGAAAAATCTTCATCGTCTATTACTCCAGCAACAACAACAACAACAACAACAACAGATAATCGGAATGTATTTCTTATTATAAAAGAACGCATACTTGCTCGAAAAATTCTTGCAGTCATATGTGTTTTTATTCTTGTTTGTTTTTTGTTTTTTAATTCTTATGATTTCTTGTTCTCATAAGTGATATTTATTTCCTATTGTTAATTGAACACAATCAACAATGCGTTATCATTTCCTCATATTTCTTTTCTTTTTTTTTATAATCATCAAGTATTTACCAATTTGTGGATTTATTATCATTAGATGGTTTTTTATTTGTTACTGAATTTTTAATTTTTAATTCAATATTACTTGTTTTTTGTTTTGAAATTCTAAGATTTTGAGAAGGTGATGATGTTTNATAAGTGATATTTATTTCCTATTGTTAATTGAACACAATCAACAATGCGTTATCATTTCCTCATATTTCTTTTCTTTTTTTTTCTCCAAACAACAAAAACTGAATACTCTATATTGTTAAAACATTTTATTCATATCTTCTATGGCAAGTTTTTGTGTGTGAACAGTTGTTTTCTTTTTGTGACATATAGATATTTTCAATTCAAATAAGGACTTATGACAGAAAGAAAAATAAAAGCAAAACAGAAAAAAAGAGCATTCGAAATAAATGATTAATTAAATTTTTCAAATAAATTCTTAATCAAAATATTCAACAAATATTTATAATTAACAAGAAAAATAAAAATGAAATTTGTCAAAAATAGAAGATGTTTATTTTTATAGATGTTGATTAAAGTCTTTCTATTTAATTATTCATTTCAACGTATAACATCCTATCGATGGTTATCAAAAACTCATCAACCATCACTTTTTGAACCAAAATGGGCATCAATATTTGCTGAAGCAACAACTAATTCATATTTACCATCATCATCATCATCATCTGTTAATAATAAAAAACCATTTGTTATGCTTTTTCCACCACCAAATGTAACTGGAACCGTTCATTTGGGTCATGCATTAACTACATCAGTTCATGATTGTCTTTTACGATGGCATACAATGCAGCAAAAATCGTTTGCTCGTTGTGTACCAGGTTATGATCATGCTGGTATTGCTACACAGGTAGATTTGAGATATTATTGAATACTGATGTTTTATAGGTTAATTGAAAGAAAAAATAAAGAACAAAAATTATAGTATAAAAATAAGAAGAATATTTAATATGTAAAATAGAAAAAGAAACAATGTCAAAATTAATCAAGGATAAATTTTCGAATTTTGTGTTTGGATTTACATAAGAATGATGATGTTTTACCTTGATTTTATGCATTAAATATTAATATCTAAAAAGCGAAATATCATGTTAAACAGAGTTGAATGAATCTATTCAATAGTTTAGTTAAGTTTTGAGGACCAACCTGCAACATTATTATTGATAATGATGCATAGACAATGTACCAGATGCTTTGAAACTAGTTGATAAATTCATTGTTCTTACATTTAACAATTCGAAATTTCATTTTACTCATGAGCCACTATGGAATGAAGTAAGAATATTAGTGAAACTCTAATATTTCGACAATTTGTTTAATTTCCCGCTGGAATTTTGACAACCTTTTTAATGTCTAAAGTCCTGTGGGAAATTTGACAAATTGTCATAAATCAAATGGAGAAATTCCGATTTACCAATATCACGACAGTGACAGATTGCCAATGTTCAATCCTACTGAATATTTCAGCCGAAAAAAGTAGCGAAACAATTAGTTGATTTACGACATGTTATTGTTTAAGATGATTAAGGTCAGAAACAAAAGAATCCAGCTGACTTTCTATGCTATTAAACATACTTTGATTAATATAATCAAATGAAATATTATAGAAAAACATTTGGAATACATTAAACGAGAAACTACAAGGTTCGCGATTACAAATTGAAAAACAATATTAAAAAAAAGATTTAAACAAAAATTTAAGTGTTTCTTCATATCAATAAATCATTATATTTTCATTTTCTTTTATTTAATATTTGTGCTAGAGTGAGTCTATTTTCATTCTTGTTGTTCAATATTAATTAGTTTATCATATACAACAAGATTTCATAGTAATCTAAACTTTAGTTGAAAGTAAAAATATGAAAGGGTGAAATATGTATCGAAGAAGAAAAACAAACGAGTCAACATTATTTAAAAAATCAAATTAAAGCCTTGTATAATCGATATAATCATTATTTCATAACAGGATTTGATCCTTTCAATAGTTTGCCTTTAGTTGTGGCCAAAAAAAAGCCATACTTATTCAATAGGAACATTACGTAACTTTGATAAACTAAGATGTAAAAACCTTTTTGTTGGTCTTTAACTTTTTTTTTTTTTTATCAATACTAAGTATTATCTACTTGGTAATTTTATTTTTCTCAATAAGAAAACATTCAGAAGTTCCTATTTCAGTTGTCGATATTTTTACTTTCGATCAAAATATAAAGAACCAGATTTTGTATTTAAATAAAACTTATCAACATTGAATTTGTTCGCAAAAAATAATCGAGATATGAAATGATAAATTTTTATTAGCTTCATTTGTTATTTTAAGGTTATAGTTGAAAAACATATAGCACCTCAAACACGTGAACAATTAGGTAGAGAAAAATTTCTCGAAGAATGTTATCAATGGTCTTCAAATTATCGTCAAACCATTGAAGCACAATTAAAACGTTTATGTCCATTATTCGATTGGTCAAATGCTTATTTTACAATGGATAAAAATCTTGTTGAATATGTTCGTGATTCATTTTTACATTTATATAATGATGGTCTTATTTATCGTGATACACGTATTGTTAATTGGTGTTGCCAACTTCGATCAGTTGTAAGTGATATTGAAGTTGATTCAAAAGAAATAAATGGACGAGAAAAATTTTCCATACCTGGATATTCAAAACATATTGAATTAGGTATACTTTATAATATTGCATATAAAATTATTGATGAACAACAAGATAAAGAAATTATTGTAAGTACAACACGACCAGAAACAATTCTAGCTGATACAGGTATTGCTGTTCATCCAAATGATTCTCGTTATATATCATTAAAAAATAAATTTGTTCAAAATCCATTTAATCCTCAAGATCGATTACCAATTATATTTGATGAAAGTGTTGATCAAAATTTTGGTACTGGTGCAGTTAAATTAACACCTGGTCATGATGTATTTGATTATACATTAGCTATGAAACATAAACTTGAAATTCGAACTATGTTAAATGATCAAGGTCATGTACAACTTGATTTAAATCATCCATTTTATCATGAATTAAATAATTTACATCGTTATGATGCACGTGAAAAAGTACTTCAATTACTTGAAAATAAAGGATTAAGAAGAGGAGAAAAAGAACAACAAAAAATGATTATACCTCTATGTAGTCGAACTGGTGATATTATTGAACCATTAGTTAAAGAACAATGGTTTCTTGATACAACTGAAATGTGTAAGTTGATTTGTATAGGATTTATTCCAGTAGGCATATACCAAGCTTTTTTTAGACTCTTTACTCTTCAGAGAGATTCCGGAAGTGCCACTAATGAAACAGTCATTAGTATAGAGTATTAGTGTCTCTGATGTGTCAATAGTATGGATAGATCGAACAGGCACACTTTCGTCTGTGACAGCAGTTTGATTACTTCAGAGACCATGATGTGAAGAACGACTTGACATTTTGTAAAGAGTTGTTCGCTCTATCATTACACATGGTAGGATCAAATTTTAATACTCGAGTTGTAGGTAACAAAGAACTATAGGTTTGATTTTCTAAAAACCATGTGTCATTTATTTTCTGCAATCATTCTACAAATAATTATTCAAGTGGCTAAAGAGGGAAAATAAAGAGTTAAACTTAGTACTTTATTATTGAATTGTAAACATGGAATTATATTCATCAGTAAGTTTTTCAGACTGTAAAAGTCGTATGACTTGATGGTATATTCATTCAAAATTATAGAAAAAAAAAAATAATCAGCCACTACTCATTTTGAGATCCGTTCAGCATGAATCTTACAGATATCTTTATTAGAAAATAATTGATTATTTTATAATCTCTTATTGAACGTTAACAGAGCATTCAACAAGAAGAAATTTTCCTTATAACTAAAAAATAAAATATATTGTTACTAGATAAAACCTAATTTATGATTAATTAATATTTCTATTCATAGATAAATTGTCATAATGACTTTCAATAGTAGTTTCACCACGAAATAGTGATTCGAAAGAAGATCTCACACTCTTCATCATTCCATGTTTTAGAAATTCTTGAAAGAATACTGAAGAAACGCGTTTACCTGAGCAAAACACGAAAAGAGAGAGAGAGAGCGATATATCCACACGTGAACAATGGCACAAGACAGCGCGAGTTTGTCTCACATACCTCTGCTCAGAAAGACTTTTTTTTTTGAATATTTCATTAATTGTCAAACGATTATTGCTACTTATGATTATTCAATTCATCCATTTTCAGTAGTATAAACGATTCAACCAATGAAAAAACTTCTGGTTTTTATTACATGAATAATCTCTTATGAATATCAATATAGGTCGTCAAGCATCATCCATTGTTGATAATAATACTCTGAAATTAACACCATCATCTACTCGTAAAGTATGGAAATATTGGCTTGATAATAGTCGACCATGGTGTTTATCAAGACAACTTTGGTGGGGACATTCAATACCTATGTATCGATGTTCAATAAATAATAAATCATCTGAATATAAATGGATTGGTGCAAAATCACTTGAAGAAGCAAAAATGAAAGCTAATGAACTATTTCCAAATGTTCCATCAAATTCAATTCATATTGAACAAGATCAAGATGTACTTGATACATGGTTTTCATCAGGTTTATTACCAATATCAATATTTAATAAAAAAAATTCACAAGAATTTCCAACAACATTACTTGAAACTGGTTATGATATAATGTTTTTTTGGGTTGCTCGTATGGTTATGCTTGTAACTATTAGTTGTTTTTTTTTCTCTAAATATATATGATTATTTATTTGAAAAATCCTTTTTTCTTTGTTTTTAGAGTCTTAAACTAACAAGTCAATTACCATTTCATGAAGTTCTTTTTCATGGATTAATTTGTGATCCAAATGGAAAAAAAATGTCAAAATCATTAGGTTAACTTTAGTATTATTGCTATTTCTCGAAAAGAAAATGAAATTTTCTTTTGAAGGTAATATAATTGATCCAATGGATGTTGTTAATGGAATAAGTCTTCAATCATTACAAAAACGTCTTGAACAATCACATTTATCACGTAATGAAATTGAACGAGCTAAACGTGCACAAGCTATACAATATCCCTCTGGTATTGAACCAATTGGATCTGATGGTCTTCGTCTTTTTCTTTTATCTCATGATATATTTCAACAATCAATACGTTTTGATCCAACACAATTTGATTATGTTTCACGTTATTGTAATAAATTTTGGAATGCTTATAAATATGTAAAAGAATTTGCCTTAGCTGATATGAATTTTCATAATGAAAATATATTAAATATAAATTATGATCAAATAGAAAAATTAGTAGAAAATCGTCTTGTTGATCGTTGGATATTAAATGAATTAAATAAAACAATAGGAAGAATAAATGATTGCTTAAAGAATTATACATTTCATTTAGCTATTGTTCGTTTACGTGATTCATTTATAAAAGATTTTTGTGATTTTTATATTGAATTTAGTAAAATTCCTATTAAACAACAATCAATTGATAACATAAAATCAAATGTTCAGATATTACTTTATTTCTTACTTAAGCAATATCTTATTCTTTATCATCCATTTTTACCAGCTATGACAGAAGAATTATGGCAAGATTTAACAAATGGAAAACAAGGTTATCTTATTCATCAATTATATCCAACCATAAAAAAAATTGAAAAGTAAAATTCTTGATTTTATTTTTTACGAGTTTTACATCCAGGATATCACTCAGCACCGAAGGCAAGGAAAGAAGCGCAGAGTGGTTGAAGAAAAGGGTGCTGCGAGGATAACAGTCAAAATCAAGAGAGTGATATCTCCCATAAATAACGCTCTTGCTTTATATTATTTGAAAATGTCTCCTCATACGATTCTTTTTTGAAGTAGAATCCTTCGAAGTATATTTCGAATAAGTATATTAAAAAAAATTGTAGACAATGGATTTTTGTTAGCATTTAGATGGAGATGACTTATCCCATAATTTACAAAAATTCTAATATTGCAATAATTGATTGTCTTGTTATTAAGTCTATTCAGAAGTTTTCTGATCATCATTATTGATTGTAATACAAGATTTCTTATATCATAAAAACTAGAAGTAAGAAAGAAAGATTACATTGTTTCTTCTACTATAATAAGAGTTTGATTTCTATTTTCCATGTTGTGTGTTTGTTTGCGTTACTGTTGGTTGGAGAACAACTATCGGCACACCGCAGTAGAATGGCAGTTAGAAAATAGCCGATCTTTTATAAGTCAAACTACCGCCGATTTTATCCAGTTTAAATCATATGGATTGTTATCCGTTACTGTTCGAATTACTCGCTTAGTTTATCAGAAGTACTGATAATATATTGTTGATAAAAAGCTTTCTTTTCTATGGCATTTTAAAGTTTATGAAAACGATCCATGAGAAACATACAGATCGAAATTGTTTTAATTTGATTTTTTTTCCTCAAATATTCAATTCACATTATAGTAATGTTTGAAGAAAATCTAAATAAATATCAATCCTTTTGATACATCCTATAATATCATCTAGAGTTTCTTCTATTATTAACATAGAATTCTTATTTCTAAGAGATTTTATTGTTGAACCATTTTAATATTTATGTCTTAAAAAAGTTTCACTGATGTGATACTTGTTTTTTCATTCTTAGTGTCAATCCCATTGACTCTCAGGTAATACAAATTATTCGTTTAATATTAAAAAATGCTGCATATTTCAAACAAATGCTTCGTTTATCACGTGATTCCGATATTATTATTCATTTTTATAATCAAGATCAAGAAAGTTTATCATCACATATAGAAACTTATTTAACTGAAATTCGTACAATAACTCGATTAAATAATATTCATGTTTGTTGTTCTTCATCATCATTAAATAATTCTTTGAATTTATCAAAATTTTCATTTCGTGATTATATAACTGATAATGTCGAACTTATATTTAATTTAAATGATAATAAACAATCAAGAGAACTTGTTGAAAAACATGAAGAACGATTAAGTAAACAAGTTGATAAATTACATGATGATATAAGTGTTAATGAAATAGCTACGAAATTTTATCAAGATAATAATGATTTTGAAAATGTTGAACGTGAACAACATCGACGTGAAATTTTAATTGAAGATATTAAACTAACTCAACGAAGACATGATAGATTTGTTGAATTAGCTCAAAAACGAACTATTGTTGAAAAAAAGAATAAAAATGAAAAAAAATCATAGTTTGTTTTCAAATTTTTTTGTTTTTGTTTTCACTAGATACTTAAACTTATTTTCATTGTAAACATCGATCAATGAAGAAATAAGTTGTTTGTGAACCTTTTGCTGTTATCTTTTGTTGTTTTTTTTTTTTTTATAATCATATCAAATCAAAAGGATATGCATAAAAAGTAGTTTAACAATCATTGATAGTTGAATCAACATATTTCAGAGAGATAGTTCTTCGCTAGTTGATATAACTACGAAGAATTATTCGATATAGAACAGGATTTTTATCTTTTTATTTACATTATATTAGAGCAACAATATTTTTGCATAAAAATCTGACAAACTGTAAAACATTCGTAAAATTTGATAAGAAGATATTTTTAATAAATTAACATTTCATTGTCATTAGCAATCTTCTTGAATTCAATTATGTTAGAAAAAAAAAATGCAACAGCGAAATTTATGACGTGTTTTTACTGAAAAATCATGACGAATTTATTCAGACAAAATCCTATAGTCAATACTTAAAAAGAGTATGAATAGTAATAAACTCATCTACCTCTCATTATAGAAGATCCCCGCAGCGAATACGATATGAGATTCGTATTATAAGGCATAGAGCTTATAATACTTCTTCCATCTAAATTTACTGTCATCCAAAGCTATTGACAACAATATTCAGGTAATGTAACAAGGACGAGGCCGAACTCTTCTAGAGATATTTGCGATGAATAGTTTTGTTCAATATTAATGGATGAATCTGATTAAATTGTTGATCTTTATTAAGTCAATTCCGATGAACTGTTTTGTTTATTTTCAAAATAAAGTATAGCATTGAATATAGAACAAATAAAGCTCTGTATTTTAATGAAGAAAACTAATTTCAAATGAGTTTTTCTGTGTTGAGAAATTTCGAAAATTGGATATGCACAAAAAATAAATCTTTTTCCATGTATATTAATAAAAAATGTCTTTCTTAACACGAAGTGTTCCATTTGATAATATAAAGTTTTATAGTCTTTATTCGATGCTATACTTTGTTTTGAACGTAAAACTAGCTACTTTGTAAAAGTTGCCAATTTAATCTGACTGATCTGTCAAAATAAATTTGTCTTGAAAACTAGCATTTAAAAAACATGTCTGATTGCAATCCTACGCTGTATTGAATACGAGTCAATAAACTAGACAGACAACATATCGATCGTTTAAGTAATGATAGAAAGAAACCACGGCATCGCTAACTGAGATTCATATGAATATTTTCTAATGCGATGGGTGTTCAAAACTAATTTCTCGTTATCTGTCTTATATCTTTCTATTTGTGTAAGTTCATGAGCATAGTACGTATTTTTCGAAAAAAATAAAACTCTTTTAATCGATTGTATTTTCGTTTGTTGTTCATGAACTATGCGTTTTTTCTAATGAACTTTTGTTTAATATAAAAGAAGCACTATACCGTAAGCGAATAGGTTCTTCCTAGAATTTTTTTTTGAATTGATCATGAAAGAGATATAAACTTATTCCTTCGAAACATGCCCCTAAACTGTAGAACTAATGAATGCTCTAGTAAGAATGGACTTCTCTGTATTTTAATGATATCTCTGTTATTATTTATTTTTTTGTTTTTAAAGATTCGCATCTTTTAATTCTCTACAAAATAATATCTTTTTTTATTGATGTAAATAGTATTCATTATTTCCCAAGATGAGCAACATTTCAGAACAGTATCTTGTCGAATTATTCTGATTGCAGATTTTAATGCTTCACAATAAGTGTTTCTTTCGATGTTGCTTTTTCTCAATGTGAAACTTTGCACCGTTCTGTTGAAATGTCTAATTTCCATCGAAGGTCTTATCTCCATATTTTCGTGCTACGGAAAGGTCATTCTGGATGTATTGAGCATGATGTACTGTCTCTTGGTCAAAAATGATTACCGATGTCACCTCATTGGAACAGGCACATCTAATCAGATTATGATATGTCTTTTAGAAAACTTTTCTTTCTTTATAACGTCACTTCTTTCATCTGAGAATATGGTTTCCATCATGTCCTCTTTTCAATAATTATGACTTATTCAGAGTGCAATTTTTTTTCATTTGTATTTTTGTTCTTCAGTAAGTCATAATTCAATTAATGTTGTCTTCTTATAGACATGAAGTGTTAAATGATCTTGTAGTATTCGAGGAGCGCTTGATTTAGATATGCCGTAGTCCTGAGCTTAATGTCGAGCTGACACCTTCGCTTTTTGTTCCAAACTTGCTTGATCTTTCGGATAATTTTACTGGTTCGAGCAATACGTGGTTTATCCGGTTAAATCATCAGCTGGATAAAACCAGTTTCATGGATCATTTTTCCCCATCTTTTTATAGTATCAAGTTCCAAGGAGCCGTTTAAATCACGAGAATCTTGGTCGAATCATCACTATCTTCGTACTTGCAAAAAACTTACTTTTCGAACATCTTTAATTTTCATGTTATAGCAAACACAAGTTACACATTTGAATAAAATACAATATATAGATTCTTGTAGAGAATAAAAAGACACATCTGTAAAAAATTAGATTTAAAAAAAAGAACTAATAGAGATATCAATAGAATATTGAAAGATCCATTCTTTCTGGGACATTTATTATTAAATGGAACGAAAAGCAAGAAGAGTTTTTGTCTGCACAAGGAAAATAGATTATATATTTCAGATACTTCCATAATAGAAATACACGTTAGATGACCGTCCTAAAAGATTTGTGCGCTAGAATATGATGGTTCTAATAACAATTGATAGCAATAACAGAGAATGACATTCGCCAACATATAATTTTGTTATATTAAAAAGAAACCCAGCATTATAGACAAACTATCGAAATATTTATAGCAGAACTATTTTTTTCAATCCATTGAAACAAACAATCCAGAGAAGAAAATAGATGATTCTATCAAAATAAATAATATTGATGAGAAAGGTCACTTTTATATCGGAATTTAATTCTAATACTGTCATTTTTTTCAAGAGACTAGCAGAGTGAAATTGAATCGTCTTGGATCAAAATTAAAGTTGAACTTTATAGTTGATCAATGTAGTTGAAGTAGAGTTGCTGTTAACTTAAATCGAAGTTTGAATAGAACTGATTAATGGATAGATGGGATCAGAGTGATCAATAAATTTAGTTATCCATCCGTGATCTAAAAGAAAAATGACTAATCCATATTGAGATATTTAATATTTGGTGCTTCCAAAGTCTTAATTAAATCTTTTAAATCATCTGTTAATTTTAATCCATCTAATTTTCTTTTTAAAAATTCAAAATCAATTATTTCTTGTAATGGTCGTTGAAATAGAATATTTTCATTTTTATTTAATTTATGAAGAAAATATCTTTCAGCATAACAACAAATAATAATAATTTCTTTTGATTGAAATTTATTTAATGAATTAATATTAAGAAAATGAAAGAGTTCATTTATATCTTCATGCGTTTTATATTGATTAAAATATTCGAAAACAATATCTTTTGCATCATCAATATCTATTGCTGTATCAGGTTGAATTTTACGTATTAATTTCATAATAATTTGTTGCCGATTAGCTAATGGTTTTGTATATTTAACAAGAAAAGATAATGATGAAAGATTTTCTAATTCATCATATTTTGATGGAAGTGTACATTGAATTGATAATGCATTAAAAGTTCTTGGGGCTTTAGATTTTTCTAATTTTTTTTCTTCTAAACGAGTTTCTTCATTAAAACGATTAATTAATTCAGTTGTTTGTTGTGTTTGTTGAATTAATGGATTAATATATTCCATTTGGAGAAATGTTCCTTTTTCTTTAAAATTTATATAATCTTTATGCATATCATTAATGAGACCGGTGTAATAACCACCTGAAAAATAAAAATAAATTTAAGAAATTTTCAATAGATTTCGTTTGATATGTTATGCCTGGTACTGCTCTAACTTGTTTATTTTTAACAAGTTTAAATTGTTTTTTAAGCATTTGTTTTTGTTTATTTTGTTTTGATGAAATTAATGTTGTAGGATTTGTAATTTGCGTTGTTTGCAGGTTTTCATTATTTGATGATTTCATTGTATTGTCTTTGATTTTATTTTCAACATCCATGGATTGTAATAGATGAGAAATATTGTTTGATGTACTGAAACTTTTATCAATGTGTTGTGTGTTTTTTTTTTATGCAAAAGACATCAAATAAATAGGAAAAAATGTGGTTTCCTTAGTAATTTAGATATGATCATTATTTTCTAATGCTTTAATATAATTAATAAAAGACTATTTTGAACGGCTAATAGTCGTCAAATATATAGATATTTGTCATTGAAGAAATTTAATCATATCTTCAATACTTGTATAAAACCATCCTCTTTTGACAAGATTTAGCTGCAGGCGCCCTCCACATTATAATTCATATCCAATACAAAAACATGAATACCAATACGCAACTGTCATTCAGATAATATTAACGAATCGGAGAGAAGAATTATTCGATGATTATATGTTGGTGCTGTGAAAGAATACAGACTGCCAGCTGAATTTCTGTCAAATACTGCGTTTCATGATAATAGGCTATTTGGCTAAATGGTATGATTTCTTACAAGGTCATTACATATCCATGTGTTCTTTTCCTCCATCAACGTAGTTTGCATCATATTTTTTGTCATATTTGTCTTTCGATCGACTGTAGAAAGAACAAGAAAATACCGAAGACAAATATACGGTACAGGACTGAAGTGCTATTAAATCATTACGCATTGCTTTTATATGAAAGGTGCAATAAGGTTACGTCTTTTTTCGTTTGTTCGTTCTAATAGACAGTATATTGTTCAGTGAGGTGTGAAAGGTAACACTACTATAGTCTTATTGTCACGTTGTAAAATATAATGTACTCAGTTTTTACTCTACAATAAATTTTTTACTTATCAACAAGAGTTCGTTTTTATTTTTTGTTAATTAACTAATAATCTTTGTTTTTTATTTATGTAGTATTGAAGGTTGTTTGTTGTCTAATCAAGCGTAAAATCAATCAATCACTCATTGATGTTTTATATAACAATTTGAAAATGATGAGTGATTCTACAAAGCAAATGTCAACAAAGGACAATTTAAATTATGAATCTGTTCATTCTGTAAAAGTTTTAATTAAACATCGACGAACAGGCGAATTTATTGCTCGTCATTCTTTATTAACGGATTTATTTCAAATTTCACATATTAATTGTATACGAAATGCATTTATTGCTGGTTTTATTTTAATGATATCACGTCAGACAGTGAATGATCTTATTCATTATGGAAGGTAAAAGATGTTCATGTTCACAAAATAGAATTTTTCTTTTTCTTTTTCTTTTTCTTTTTAATTAGATTGAATTGGACATTTGAACTTCTATGTCAAACTGTTGGTAAATTACATATTGTCGCCATTGTTTGGTCTCTTATGACATTATCTACCACTTTTATTGTTTTCTATAGCACATATATGTGGGCAAGTAATCGCAGATTTGTTGGAGTTTATCTTAGTAAAAGAAAAATGTTATATTGAATATTTTAAATAAAAAAATAACTGAATTGTTTTTTATTTAGAATTTTATGATAGAATTTGGTTGCTGATTTATGTTTGTTATTTAATGGGTTTAATGGTAATACCAAGCTGGCAAATTATCAAATATCAAATACCAATTGCTTCTTCAGCAATCATTCTCGCCGAACAAGTATGTTTCTTTGAACATTTCAAGTCTAAGAATATTTTATATAAAATGCTCGATGAAGAAAAAACGTAATGATAAATGTTGAGTTGACACAACTGAAAACAAAAGAAAATATTGAAGTTAAATAAACAAATAGAAAGAATTTGTTCGTATGCTAGATTATATAGCTACAGATGGATTAAATAACTAGTAGATAAGACTCATTAATCACTATTTTAAGAATTTTGATGACGGCTATCCGTATCATTGAGACCCAAAGCTTAATAATCTCACAAAACTTGCCGATAGACAAAAAGACTTTTTTCTCTTTCAATAATAAAAAAAAGTCGAGATTTATTTTTAAACACGATTATATAAACCAAGATACTATCCATTTTCAGTAATGAAATTAGAAGAGTGGTATACCAGCAATCACTTCAAAAATCGTTTTGGACTATGATCATCGACTTCCTTTGGCAGTTTCTTGTATAACCTGAAAAATTAACACAATATTCACATAAAATTTTCATCATTGCAAATCGTGCCTATAACTCTACACATTCATATTATTATTTTTTCAAAAGTCGATGAGATACGAACACATAATGACTTATAAGACATGAGTAAATGATCAGATCATTTTGAATCTAACAAAAATGGATCATGTTATTAAACTATACTCGGTTGATAATATATATATATTAAAATTTAGATGGAGTTTAATTTTACTATATAACAAGGGACTGTTTTTGATTATTGAATATTAATATAGTAGACATTGTCCAACAAGCGAAGAGAAAAAAGAAAAAAAATCTGTTTGTTACATAGAATAGAAGAAAAATATCGCTCTGATCTGAGGAAGTGGCAAAGTTCAATTTAGCTAACAAATCAGAAATTTATTGTCTTGAGAGTGGATGATTGATCAGGGTGAAGATCGGAATTGTCGTTGTCACCATAATCAGAAAAAAAATCTGGTATTAGCAAAATAACATTCCTCATTTTAATATCTCTGATTTGCGCTTTTATATTATTTGTCCTAGGTTATTTTTGTGAAAAGTCAGAAATCAGCTCTCTAATGTACAGAAAACCAATTTTATATCTCAAATATCGATCTAGAAGAATAAAGAAATTGTTCAAGTAAAATCTCTCTATTGTATAATGAGGTTTTACATTTGTAGATTATGAATATTCCATGCTTGGGCTCATGTTAAGCTGCTTTTATAAAAAGTAAAATTTAAAATTTCGAATCAATTGTCTATTTAGTTACGACAATTGATGAAAATACATTCATTTGTACGTGAGAATGTTGGAAAAATCCTTCGAAAATCGCGTAATTCAGTTGGTTTGTTGAAACTTTTTTATTTTCTTCCAGAAAATTTTATTTTTTTTACATTTTCAAAATTTAGATCAAAAATTATCTTTTGAATTTAGTCATTTTAATCAATATGTATATTTTCTATTTGCACCTACATTACTTTATCGTGATAATTATCCTCGCACATCAATTATTCAATGGAATATTGTTATGAAAATGTTTGGTCAATTTATAATTATTCTTTTTTTAGTTTATAATGTAGTAACAAATTTTTGGATGCCAATTTTTACACGTTTTTTTACAAATGATGAAATAACATTTGAATTTATGATTTCGACTATATTTGATTTGATGTTACCAGGAGTACTTATTGTTATACTAGGTTAAATATTTAATTGATTAATTTTTCATGAAAATGAATCTGTTTTTTCTTTGTTTATATTTCTGTTAAGCTTTCTATGGATTTTTTCATTGTTGGTTAAATGGATTTGCTGAACTACTTCGATTCGCTGATCGCATGTTTTATGAAGTAAGAGAAAACAAAGAAAAATTTTGTAATTAATTCTTTATTTGTAGGATTGGTGGAATTTAACTTCAGCTGCAACATTTTGGCGATCATGGAATGTTGTTGTACATGATTGGTTATATGTTTATGTTTATCAAGATCTGAGCAAAGTTATTCTAATATTAAATTTTATTATTAAATAAGTATTTTTGTTTGACTTTTTTTTAGTTATTTAATGGTAATCGAAATTTATCAACAACTTGTGTTGTTCTTCTTTCAGCTATATTTCATGAATACTTTATGATTATTTCACTTGGATTTTTCTCACCAATATTAATTGCATGGTTTGGTTTATTTGGAAGTATGTTTAAATATATATTTGAATATTTATTGTCTATATGTATATTTATTTATTAGTGTTATTTCGTTTTGCTTTTCCACGTGCAAAAGGAACACAATGGAATATTGCATTATTAACATTTGTACCAATTTGTGTTGCACTTATACCCTATTTTTATGTTCTAGAAGTTTCAGCTCGATATTTCCCATCGAAACGTGTGAGTTTGAGACTATTTTTCTTTATAATGATGATAGAATGTGTATTTATTTAGAAGACATTCTGGAGCATGATGTTCAATAGTGATAAACAATCCAACTATGAACTGTGAAAAGAGAAAATTGTATAAGATAGAAATCGTAAAATTTTCAAAGAAAATTAGTCGCATTTCTTTTTTATTTTTATTCAAATAAATATTTCATAACAAATTGATCATATTTCTTCGTAACTATTATTATTATATTGATAGACTAGATGTAAGCGTATGCTGTAGAAATATCAAAAAACAATATGATGCGTCTAGAAAACGCTGATTTTAAACGTCTATAGTTTTTATAATTGCTTTTCTCATTATTTTGGTAACTAGTAGTACCAGTGATGAATAATATATGATAGAGATTTATCAAAATAGTCGGAAATATGACTGTACAACTAACTAATAGTCTATCATTCATATTTATCTAATGTAGGTCAGCCATCATCACCAATTATTTCATTTATCAATTCATAAAAAAATGAAGATCTAACCTAATTATTATGAAATGATTAAATTTTAGAATTGGATCAGAAAACACAACTAGACGGTATTTGGGTTTCACTCAAATATTAAATGCGGTGTGAAGCATAAATATCGAGTTTCCAGAAAAAAACGGCATCCCATAAAAAACGAATAAATGTTCCTCCGACCGATCGTAAATCGCTGTTCCTCTGAAGATGTTTCATTTTAACGAAATGAGACATTTCATTTTGTCATTAGGAGTCGAAAAAATCATAGTTTTATCAATCAGTTGATCCAGGTTAGGACCAAAGTGAAAGGTAGCCATAATTAAATTCAGCACTACCAGAATTCTATGAACACATATCGACATGTTTCTAAAGAACGATTTCGATTGATCGGTTAATTATCTAAATGACTCATTATCTATCATCAGCTTTATTTACAGCTGGAATGAACTAAATCAGGTTATCAAATAGACTGGTGGCTAACTTTTTATGCTGTCTATATTTTAATCATCTTAAAGCTTCAAAAATTAACAAAGTCTACCAAAATGATGGCTGGTTATATGCAAAATCGCCCGTACTCTCTCATAAAATTCAGTTTTATCTAACTTTATTGTCATTTCGACTGTCCGAAGTTTTTGAATAATAAAATCAAACTTTCTAATGCATCTTTTTACTGTATATCATGCGACTGAGTTAACCGAGAGTTATCCATGTTTTATGTCCTCAAAAAGATTAGGTTATACTATGTTTTCATGGAAAATACTCCATTCATTTGCTTATATAAAGAGTGTCTCATAAGTTTTGATTCCCTTCAAGTAATACGCCTTTTTTATATATTTTTTCTCTAGAATAGGCTATTATTCACAGCATATAAACTAGACATCTAGATCTACTCTACGCTAGAAGTTCAGCTTTTTGTCTCTTATACTCCTAGAGATACAAGTAGCTCAAAATTCGTAGAAATTTTTCTGGAATAATTAATGGGTGGTCCCGAATAAATGAACGTGTTTTAGATTTCATTTTCTCATCATCTAATACGTTATTTAAGAAAAACAGAATATTCTCAAGATGCAGTATGAAATGCTCTACAACCTACACAGTGAAGCTTATTTTAAATGTGTACCTTTTGCTTTCAAAAACTGTACGACTACTTTTCACAAAAAATAGGCTTCACTATGTAAATTGTAGAGCTTTTCATGTTGTATCCTAGGGTGTATTCTGTTTTTTTTTTAAATAACGTATTCGATGATGAGAAAGTGAAATCTATAACGCGTTCATTTATTCTGGGCCACCCATTAATTATTTCAAAAAACTCCTACGAATTTTAAGTTACTTGTATCTCTATCAGAGCTGCCAACAGGCTACTTTTTTTCAGCCTGGCCTGGCCTGCAGGCCAAACCAGGCGAACTAATGTTTCAGACTTATTATTATTATGAAATTTACAAATTCGCGTTAATCCATTGTATACATTTCAATTTGTGATCCAACTTGTTTTCATGAGAGAAATAGAATGTAGTATGCCAATTCTCATCGAAGAGCATTCATGAATCAATTTTAAGATCAGTTTTATGAAAATCTTTGATACATGAATATGGGCCTGAGTTTTGAAATGAGACACTTTCAAACATGTAATCAATCAAGTAGATGTTGAAATTTGAGCAGTCATCCTATTTCGCAATGTTGAACATTGCGGAATAGGATGTATTCTCTGAAATTTAGGAATCTATGTGGAGATATTCGAATTTTTTTGGAAGAAAGTTATAACTACGTAGATATGGGAAGTATGGATTATCGTGAATACTTGCTGATATGTAAGGTATCTTCAATCTCAAATACGTACGAATGAGAACTTCTCAATATTAGCTTAAAATCTTCTACTAATCTTATAGTTTGATGACTTTTATTCACACGATAATTTTACGAGTGGACAAGACTTAATTCTCCATCATTTTCATTAAACAAAATTCTGAATTCGATTCTAGTTTAGACCAGCTCTCGGAACCATGAAACTCTTTAAACGAGTAACGCAATCTTCCTTAGTATAGGATTGAATAGGTAAGAAGAATTTTAAATAGTTTTGGCACAAAAGTGCTAGAAATAATTGTACTTGTGAATCACCGAAAGAGAAAATTTAAAAAGAGACTGAAAAATTCTAAATGTCCGAGAATTGAAAGCTAATAGTAGTAAACACGGTCGAAAAAACCTTATAAAACGTATAAAAACATTGATTTGACTTGATGATCAACAGAAAATATCAGAGACAATCATCATCGACTCGTAATGTCGTCTTATTTTTAGAATTGAATACTGTAAATGTTAGTATTAAATCATACCCAGGCTAAGAACTTTAGCTTAGCCTGGCCTGCAGGCCAGATCAAAAATTTTCTAGCCTGGCAAGCAGCAGGCCAGACTAGTAGCTCTGGTTCATATTGATTGATGAAACTAGTTTTTGGTCAATTGAGTTGTTGGAAACTATTGATTTCGTGGCATTGACTTATTACTTGTTTTAATACATTATTGAAAAAACAACGCTTTGTTAGATTGGAAGAAATCGCAATGTCGACAAATAGCAACATTGTACTCGCGTATGTACGGAAGAAATAATATTCAACGAAGAGCATTGCTTGCCAATCTAATGCATGATATCCAAGTTTTATTTCTATTATGATTCTAAGAAAAGGCACAATATGTTCAAACCATTTTCTGAGACTTTCAACAAGGTGTTTGTCAAGGATTTATGGAATCATAGACTATGGTGAACTTCTAATATGACACAAAAATCGTGACAAGATCTACATATCTTTAGCTGCAATTGTGATCATACGGCTGGCGACATACACATATTTATCTAGCAAAAACAATATACAATTATTGTTTGGAGAACAATCAGATGTTAAAAGGTAATCATAGTTAGTTATACTTTCATTTACGTTGATAAGAGATTTTTATGTCTTGTTTATTTTATTATTTCAGTCTTTACCCCCGGAAAAAATATTTTCGCCCGTATTTCAAATATATTGTGATTATAATAACACATTTTTTTAAAACCAATTACATATTCTGAGAGCCCGTGAAATTTTCTATAATCCTGTATATTTATGTTGTAGTTTGTACTTGGTCATTAGAAAAATAAATAGAGTACATTGAAGACATCCTCATGTCCAGATTTTCAAAAACAAAATTTTATTACTATCATGAAAATTAGTTTTTAAACTTTTTTAACATTAGAGTAGTATCTTTTTTAAAAAAGTAATTATATATTCTGATAGAGCTTGAAATTCTCTATCATTCTATGTCTCATATAGACATACTCTTTGACAAAAGTCTTGAAAAAATCACATTTTACTGTGGTGACTAAGCGGATACGTGTCTGTCCAGATGACTATCCATATACCTGCCCATTGTCCAGTATTTCGTGTACATTGTGGAACTTGCTAGAGTTCTCTATGTCTCTCTCTCTTATGTTCTGGAATGTTCCATTTTCAATACTATATATACTAGTGGTTGCCACTCTGTGTCTCTTGTATTGCTTCTCTTCCAATTTCTCAGTCGATTACTCAGTATTCACTTGAACAGTCAGATCTTTAGTTTTCGCGTGTGAATAAACTAGCTCTTCTAGATCGTCGTTTCTGGTCGACATCGAACTTGGCCTGAAGACATGACAGATTCCGTCAGCAATCAGTGGTCATTTTATCTATTGGCGATCGATGGCGAATTATCTCGTTAAGTTTAGATCAAGGTATGGCTACGAACCAAATTTCTTCTGTTATTAATTGTACAAGGCGAACTGCTCGTAATATTTTACGATTATTTCATGAAACAAATAATGTTATCGAACGAGAAGGACGTGGTCGCACTTTATTGAGTAATGATGATGTTCATATGTTACGTCAACTGTTTTACAGATATCCAACCGAAACTGTTGCTAATATTAATGATCGATTTTTTCAAAAGACAATTAGAAACTATCGACAACGTTTACGTTTTCGTCCGATTCATGCCAGATAGCAGTCGATGTTAACTCAACGACATGCACAACAACGATTATTATTCTGTCAACGATACGTACAAAATAATTACCGACATATTATTTTTAGAGATGAAAATATTTTTGAAGTTGATGTTTCTGGTATAGTTCATTGGATACCTTATAATCACCGAAGACCTACATGATTCTGTAGTCAAGTACAATATCGAATTGCAGTGTTTGGTGCTATATGGTATAATAGTCGATCGAATCTGGTGTTTATTCGCGATCGAACTAACACCAACACGTTTGCACAGTACCTTCAATCGGCATTTTATACACATTATCGATCAATAAGACAATATTATTTTATCCACGATCATCCGACTTGGGCTCACACATTAAGAGCAAATAACTGGTTGCACAGGCACCAAATCATATGTTCGACGAATATCCTGCTGCAAGTTCTGATGTTAACGTCATTGAATTATTGTGGTCATGGATGAACCACTTTGTTCAACAACGTCGTCCTAGTTCTCAACAACATCTCGAACAATTAGTTATCGATGCTTGGAATCAAATTCCACGATGTGTAATACATGTTTACATTGATCATATTCAAGATATTTGCTACCAAGTAATAGTGAACCAAGGATGGGAAACTTCAGGATAAATGAAACTTTAAATCATCATTAGGATATTTTTTTTTTATAAAAACTTGTGATTCTGTTGATATTGAATTCCAAATTAAAAAAAGAACAATAGAATTAAAAAACTTTTTCTTGAATTTTATTAAGAAATGTGTCTATGTAATGTCAGAATAATACCTTATGAGACGCATTCAAGATAATATAAAAGTAGATAGACTGATAGGAAATTTAATGCGCTATCAATGGTATAATTTCTTATACATAATTGATTTCTTTGGGGTAGTAAATAAAAAACGACAGGAAAAAAATATAGATTTTTGGTACATGCCAATTGAGGATGTTTTCATTGTACTCAAATTTTCTTTTCAATAAATGAATATAAGTAAATAAGTAAATATACAGAGTGATAGAGAATTTCAAGCTCTATCAGAATATATAATTACTTTTTTAAAAAGATACTGCTCTAATGATAAAAAAGTTTAAAAACTAATTTCCATGATAGTAACAAAATTTTGTTTTGGGGAATCTGGACATGAGGATGTCTTCATTGTACTCTATTTATTTTTCTAATGACCAAGTACAAACTACAACATAAATATACAGGATTATAGAAAACTCCACGGGCTTTCAGAATATGTAATTGATTTAAAAAAAATATATTATTATAATGACAATATATTTGAACTACGAGCGAAAACTATTTTTGTTTCGGGGTATATATACTTCATAGGATTCTACTTTAGACTTGAAAAACATTTCTCTTTCGATAAATGTCTGTTTGTGAATGCGTGTTTCACTGATTAATGTATTTTGTCAGCTTTTCATTTTATGATAAAAATTGTTTTGACATATCAAACGTTATCTATGACATTTTTTAACTAGCATCAGAACAATATTTACTCCAGATATTCATGGTAGGCTTTGGTATGAATGATTTTTTAATAGTTTTCTTTAAAAAATTAAATTATTTGTATCTAAAAGCAAATACGTTTACATATTTGCACTGTAAATGATTTTATTTATAAAAAAGAATTCTTCTTAAATCACAATTATATCCATTTTAATTAATATATATTATAGTAGAAGTTATTTTTGGTTCATAATAGTTCAAAATATTTGCATTCTCAGAATAAAAACACGATGTTAGATATTCTATACAAGACATACAATTGAAACAAAAGAAAAAAAAATGATTACTTGAAATTATATTCACACAAATACAAAAGTCACCATCTATTGAGAGATTTATCTCTATTGATGGTATCATTCGATTCCAATGCTAATTATTAGTTTAGTCTTGTTTTCTTTGAATCGTCTCGTTAGGATATAAGGAACGAAACATAAATTGAAGATATTATACATGTAGATAAGATACATTTTCATTATTTTCCCATTCAAGCAATTATAGTCTCATTAAGTCGTGGCATCATTCGTTGTGTGTAAAACGTAGCCATATCTGTTCTAGTATTTTTTCTGACTTGAAAACGTTTACATATGTGTGGGACAACTATTTCTTTTACATTTCTGTTCATAAAAAATTGAAAAACCGTCATAAGAGAAATCATATTTGTCATAAAACTAAAACCTATTAAATACATAGGTTTTGGTAAAGGTATATCGGATAATTTATGCCAAAGAATATTAATAAGATAAAATATTCCACCACATGAAAGACAACCAGATTGTATAACTAATTGTTGAACAATCTTTAATTCACGTTTAGCATTATTTTTTGTACTACTAATATTATTGTTTGAAACAAAGGGCATAACTCGACGGGTTGATTGACGAACATTATAGAAAATTATGCCATAGACAACAATAACCAAACTTAATGGTACAGAAAATGAAGCCGTTGCACAAAATATTGCTGCTGAAAATGCTTTACTTGTTAATACACATCCACGTGATTCGACTTCGAGACCAAAACTTCCATGAATAAATACTAAAGGTAAAGTTGGTACTAGAAAACCTATGAACCAATTGAAAATAATCATGATAAAATGTATACGCCAATGGAGAAGATGTTTATATTTATGAAAAATTGCAAAAAACATACGACTAAGAGCTTGCATTGAATATGAGTAACAAAAAGTTCCAATTACTGCAACAAATGTATAACCTCTTGCAATGCAATATGGTGTATCCCATGCCCAAGCTTTACCAACACCAGCAATAGATGCAATCAAAGCTAAAATTAAATGTATTGTAGCAGCTATGCACGTATTACATGTAAGTAAATTAGACACAGTATGACATTGTCGATTGGTAACAATAGTAAATATGATTATAAAACTAAATGTAAGACCTATTAGTGCTATCACTAATTTACTTGCATAATTAATAATATAAAAGAGATCGGAAGGCATGTCTATGTTTAAACTAGCAGACATTTTTGTATTTTGACGAAATAAAAAACAAGAGTGAATTAATAAAATTTCTTCTTTCTTTCTCTGATCTATCTCTTTTCAGATAATTAATTATCTATATTTCACTTCAGAAGATACGTCACAGTAATATTTTATATATAAATAACTTAAATGTCAAATGCTTTAATAGGAAACTGTCAGTCAAAGAGACAATAGAAAATATGCTTCGTTGAGTTTAAAAAAACAAAATTTTTAAAATACTAAGGCATGTCTTCTTATTAAAAACCATGAATAAACAGTGCAGCTGGTTTACAACGTTGTTTCTTATTTTTATCATTATATACAACGACGTATATCAAAATCGTATCGTTTTCTGAACGCTTTGATTCCTTTATTTTGACAGTGAAAATATAATAAAACCAAATATTCAAACCAACTTTTCACCTAACATCTGAAAGCATTTCGCGAAATGTTCATTTCGTAATTTTTCATCCTCTACTTTTTCTTAGTTTCTATGTTTTATATTGTGACATACAAAAATAGTCTTTTCTATAAAGAAAAATTTCCAAAAAAAAGAAAAACACTCACAGAAATCTTTGTTTACCGTACAATTTTGTATTGCTTCAACGAATCCTATTATGTTTCATTTTCTTCTAGATTCTGGTTTGCTCTTATTTAGATAAATCATCAACCTAAGTAAAGTTAGCTCCGCATTCGACCTTTTATTGTATGGATTATTTTCCTGACTTGTATTGGACTTCTTATTGATTGTGGTAGGTGCAGAATTTTATTCTTCATCGAACGGATGTGGGTGTGAGTTTGAGAATCTTCATGTTAGCCACATCCACACCATTAATAAATGTGATCTGGAAAAACCCTTCATTGATTAAAAACAAATCTTTTTTGAGTGATACTATAAAAATAAGTGACAAGAATCGATATAGGTTGTACTGCAACGTATTATATTCGAATTTAAATATGAATATCATTTCAAAATCTTGGAACAATAACGAAAATAATTATTAAAAAAAAACATTTATTTTCTCGAATACAATAAAAATCTGAGTTATTTTTCTTTTGAATGCATTTTCAATAAATTTCACCCAATGAAAATGCTTTAGAACATTTTAACTAGCCATAAGAATTACAACGAACAGACATCCTGTTATGAATAAGAGAAAATTGAAGAAACGTTGCTCAGCTAATCGAGAAATTGCTGTAAGAGCGGCATTAATATTTTCCGTGGATTCGAACGAATGATTGGAACTTGTTGAAGAGGCATAACATGTAAAGTTGACAGTAAATTAGCTGGTTCAGTCAATTGGCCAAAGAATTTCGGTAAGAATCGTTGTGGAATCAAGTATGACGAAACATTGAACAAATCGATGAATACTGGATATTTTTCACTTACTAAAAGAACAAGACAACCGATGTAATATTTTTCTCTATTTAATTTGTTAGTAATCATATTGATGAAAAACTTTCAATTATCGTTGTACATATGACAATTCGAGTTAAGGGAAAATGTTTGTGATAATAAAAAAAAAAAAAGATTCTTACTTAACTGTTTGATGTAAATAGAAAAAGCCACCAGTACCTCCTGTATCAGGTTTTCGACCAATTTGACGTTGAACAAGAAGAACATGTTTATCTAAGAACAAAATATAATAAAACTCAGATAATTTTTCAATAATACAAAAGAAAACTATTTTGTCGACATACGACGCCAACTGGCAATTAATGCATCAATATCCATGAGTAAGCTGAGCATTTCATAGGCTTGTTGAAAACAAGGCTGCTAATGATAAAGTGAAATCATAAATGCAGTCAGCATAGCCTTTTGAGTAAGTCGACGTTCTTGAGTATCCAATCATTTTTTATATTCAGCCGGATCGATCATACTTAAAAATTGTCATCTTAGATTTTCATTTAAAAAAAAACATTAGCAGTGTTCTGTCGTTGATTTTACTTGTTTTTTAATTGAATTCTATTCTACTTTCGTTTCTTCGAAATGCTAAAATGGGAATTTACTAAAGGGCAATTTTTGAAAAATACACTATGTATAATGAGATAGACTTCATCGGAATCGTTTCAAACTTTCAGAGCTACTCAAATTCATCAGAATAAACATAGAAGATAGTATTATATGAAAGAATGCAGATGTAGGAAGCATGATAGAATTGATGACGATGATGATGTCAAATTGAACAAGATCAATTTGACAACGATGACAACATAGAAATTTGATATTTCCTTTCTTACTTTGACAATCTATATTTATGATAAATTATCGTCAAAATGGGTTGAATGAAAAGCATAAAATGTTTCTGGTGTTGAAATAAAGTCTAAAAAAAATTGAGGGTTGACGTCCTGATTTATTTTCGTTCAACTCTATAGAAAATCGTTATTTTCATAAAGTACTTATCGTCGATAGCAAATATTTTGTAGGTTTTCGTTATCCGTTACTCGGTATAACTAGACACGGAACGGTAGCTGACTTCACCTAATCAGAAAAATGTTTCAATATGTTCTTGGACTCTGTCTGATGAATAGCTATAGTCGAGAAGCTCAGAAAACTGAACTCTACCCAAATAAGATTGTAAGTATCACACATATCACTTACCTATGCACATAAGTTCAGTGAACGGAAAACTACTTTTTTTAGACACGAAACTCTTACTTTTGAATTGAGCATATGTGGAAAAAAAACGGTGACCCATAGGTTTTTGATCATGATGATAGTCATGAAAATACTGTTTTTGATTGTTAAAGGTTTCCATCGGCCTTGACAACCTCATTAACCTCACTTATACGCATGTTGGACGCATAACTTATATATTATTTCAAAAGCACTGCGTTTATACCTATTCAACACATCCATTGTTTCATCACTAGAGTTTCCCGTAATGTCGAATTCAGTCTTATTGTCCACGTCGAAACTTGCACTGTCGATTTCATTTTCTATACAGGCATTAGCTATTCTGAAGTTCTTCTTTATCTTCTGAATGTGGCTGATGAACAGTCCGCCAAGCGACACTAAGCGCTTCTTTTTATTGACATCGCATAAAGCTTCATCATGCTTATAGAGAAAAGCACTGTTGTCGAGAAGTTCATCCAAATACAGATAATAGATGGCGTGTGGAACACGGTGTCATACGGATTCACGTGACCGAATGTCTCAATTATCTGCTTATAATAGAAATCTCATCGTTTCATGTATTACCAAAGAGTTCTTCGATTGAACAAGGAAATCAATGTGTTCATTGTGGAGATGGGTAAGAAGATTAGGAATTGCAGCAGATGTCTTCCCTGCCTAGATAAGTGAAAATGAAGTTTTCGAACAAATAAAAGTTTCAAAACTTACTAAGAGTATATGGCACTTATACCCAATCATGTCCTCATACGGTTCACTCAAAAGAAGTGTTCGTCGATTAGAATAGTCTTCTTTCGCTTGTTGAGATAGGGATTGCCAGAGCAGAAACTGTACTATGAGCAACAGCGAACCAGCGATACTTATGATGACTATATACAGTTAGGGAAAGCTGGCAGAAAAACCAGCAGAGCAAATCAGAATTTGATGGAACCTCACAGAAAACGACAGAAAAAGCAGCACTTCCAAGTGAAAATTAGAGGAGCTTCTTAGTTAGAGGGAAGAGAGAAGAGGGAAGATAACAGATAAGTGAGAGAGAAAACTGAAGAATAGGAAAGAGAAACAAAAACTATGAGAAAAAGAATGGGGGTTAAAGTAATCCGTTTGAACTTGAACGTAGATTAACATAAATAGAAAGGATGGCGGCCTCCACCTCTTTTTTCTACTGTCCAGTGAGGAAAAATTACAACAAGAAAAATGATGAGAATTTTATGAGGTCTCACAGACATAGATTGAATATGACCTAGATATGTACAGAATTATGATAAATTCTTGGATAAGAAGGAAATAAAAGCAATAGCAACACGGATACTTGAGCTCAATATGTTATTAATGTACCTGGTAAGAGGATCCTCTAACTTTAACATACTAAAAAGTGCTTATATTAAACCTTTCATATTTCGCCTCATCATTTATATCGATATTGGTACCATCCGATAAAAAATAAAAGTTTACACTTAGCATAGCCAATTAGAGAGCTATCACAAGTCAGAAAGCGAATATGTAGTGGGAAACGTCAGATTCACTGTCTGAACATTGTCGAAAATTCAGTATTTCGGATCGAAACTCAATTTTTAGCATGATGGCGAAATGAATCTAGACAAGAGAAGACCAAAGATGATGCTTACTCTACTTAAGTAGAAAATCTTGCTTAACAGATGCGCCTTTAGTTTATAAAAGTCGCAAAATTCACTTCAATCTATGTTCGACGCTGTAAGCAATATTACTTTTCGATACACGATGAACTCTTTTTCTTATTTCATCGACTAAACAATCATAGTTTTTAAGCTTACCTTATTGCGATCAAAAATATTTGGTTACTATCTGTACATGCTTATGAAATACGTGAAATTCTCATGATACTCTGCTCATGACTCTTGATGTTTACGTGGCATTTCATTTGTTTTTATTGATAGATGAAACCATCGACTACCCTCTCCCTTCTCCTTCTCCTCCTCAGCAGTAATTTACTTTGATACCAAACATGCGGAAGAAAAACTTTAGAGAACTTCTCGTATGAGAATGTGCCATTAGGCTAAAATACAATTGGAGATGAGAGGCCATTCTTGGAAACGTCTAATGAGATTATAACTCTTCTTGCATATTTTTTGTCTTTTGATTTATCTTCCCTCGTTCGTCAGTTTTCCATCAACTCACAATACAAATACATTCTAATGAAAAGTATTTTTCACAGTAAATAATACAACACTCATTCAACAAATAAAATTTAAAAAAAAGGACGAATTGACCGTATATATAAAAAGAATGATTATGTTCATAGCATTGAAAACTGATCGAACAGAATTTTGTCTTTTTCTAAAATAGAACATGCACATGTAAAAGAAGCTTTTATTTATAGATTTGATATCGTTTTGCGTTGCATCTTGCAATATGTTTTGCTTTTTAACAAAACGTGTTATATAGTGATAAGGTGACAGGCAAAAAAGTAACCATTCATTATAATTCACTCATTCATATCACTGTCTCGAAAGTTGATAATCGACAATGTAATGAAAACAACGTGTTGCTCAAACAAAAGAGAAAATGATCGTCTAGAGAAACACGCCATAAAGAATATAATATGATATGATAGAAAAAATTGGTTTTATCGATGAAAGAATGGGAAGAATGAGGGTATATTTGTTGCTCGCTTATACATTATACCTTTACAATGCATATTATCGTTGGTGTGAACTAACGTGATGTTTGTTCTTTTTTATTTTATGTTTGATATATTTTGTTAGATGCCTCTTCCTACTATTGGTGAACCAGCACCGGATTTTAAAACAAAAGCAGTACTTAACAATAAAGTATTTGATATATCATTAGGTGATTATGATAAACAGTATGTTGTTTTACTCTTTTTTCCAACGAACTTGTAAGTACATTACTAGCAGAATTAACAATAAATATGTAATTATCTTTTTTATTATTAAATATATAGTACTTTTGTTTGTCCAACAGGTTCGTTTGAAATCAATATGAAAAAAACAAACTTCTTGTAAAAATATTTTCTTTGATAGAATTAATTGCATTCAGTGATCATTTGAATGAGTTTCAGAAAATCAATGCCAATGTTATTGCTTGTTCAACTGACAGTCATTTTAGTCATTTAAAATGGTTTCTATATTCATTTTAGTTTTTAAATTCTATTTTCTATTATTCGGTTTTAATAGGCTGAACATGCCACATAAAGAAGATGGTATTCGTGGCCTTCGTATTCCATTGATTGCTGATAAATCAATGGCAATTACCAGCAAATATGGTGTTCTTGATGAAGAACGCGGAATTGCCTATCGGTTTGTTTTGAACAGTTACATTTTAATAATAACCACCATTTTATTATTATTGATAGAGGACTGTTTATTATCGATAATAAGGGTATTCTTCGTCAAATTACTGTTAATGATTATCCAGTAGGTCGAAGTGTGCCTGAAACTTTTCGATTGATAAAAGCTTTTCAAGATGCAGATAAATTACGTGAAAGTTCAGCAGAGTCAAGTTTTTCTGAAGGTGAGAAAAAAGTAAAATTATATATATTTCGAAACCGAAGTTTTGTTTTTCGATAGTGCCGACGTCAAGTATTCAAAGACTTCGATTAGCGAATTATTCAGAGAGAAATTTTCTTCGTGAGCTCACTGAATAATAATAATAATAATAATAATAATAATATTAAAACAAAGATTTTATAATAAAAAAAACTCATTACTTTGTCATTTTTGTTATTGATTCACACAATATATATTTCATGGCATATTAATATTTGTATAGATTTTTATCAATATACACAACTTATGATAATCATGTAGATATGTTATTTTTGTTAATGGCTTATGAGATACTAAATTCGAATATATTGTTTGCTTAACTGATTTCAATGTTTTGGGAAACATTAGTCTGGTAATTCAAATCAGAGAACGTCACAGGACCTGCGTCCTGCAGGACGAAATTGAAAAAATATCGCCCAAAAATACATGAGCTACACAACAAATTTAAGATCTACAGAGCGTTTAATAGAAAGTTTACTGGTGATTTGCAGGACCAGCGACAGTTATAATATGAAAAACTTTATAGAGCCAACACCTCTTACAATGGAAGATCACCAACTGGTAGTTAAGAAGATTGACCATATTTGGGTCAAATAAAAGCTCTCACCGCCAAACTAACAAATTTAAAATATTACGTCCCCAGAGCATACCTAGAGCAGGTTACTTAAATTTCAATGTATATGACATTTAGGTATAAAAATAAATCAGGAAAGGTTTTCTCCACTATTGTAAGGTCAAAACATAGTATTATTCGGGCCATATGAAAGAGGGCTCCTCCAAACTCCTAATGGAGCCTAACAACACTATGTTTTGTCCTTACAATAGTGGAGAAAGCCTTTCCTGATTCATTTTTATGCCTAAATTTCACATACCTTGAAATTTAAGTAACTTGCTCTAGGTACGCTATGGGCACGAAATATTTTAAATTTGTTTATTTGGCGGTGAGAGCTTTCATTTGACCAGAATGTGGTCAATCTCCTTAACTATCAGTTGGGAATCTTCCATTGTTAGATGTGACTTTTGCTATTTTTTTTCGTTCACCTCATGGATCTCAAGTATTCCTTTTTTTTGTTCATTTTGTTTCTATTGCAAAACGTATGATAAAGTTTATTGACAAGAATATTGTAAATGATTTTTATATAAACAGTACTTCTATGACATTTGACATTGTAGCTCATTTTCAGTATCAATTATATTGTAAATCCTATATCTTTATGTTTGTCCTCATTCTTTTATCACCTTATGAATATCAAGTTTTTTTTTGTTCATTTCATTTCTGCTAGAAAACATGTGATAAGACTTATTAACATGATTATTGTCAAGGATTTTTATAAAAATGGTACTTATATTATATTTGGAATCATACCTCATATTTAGACAAGCTTTTATCTTTCTAAAGGATGTAATGAAAAGGTCGTCCTAGGCCAGACGCAGGAGGATCTTTTCTCTTGCAAGATATGTCTTGCAAGTACGAATGTTTTTGATGTCCTGCTTTACATCCTGCAAAGCAGAATAGTTGTGTGATAATATCCTGCAGGACGCAAGACAGTACAAAAAAACGTCCTGTGACGTTCTCTGATTCAAGTCAATAACTATCTGATGACAGACGATCAATAAGTATTTTTATACGAAATACATACACTTTGAACCTACAAAATCAAAGTATCAACAATAATTGTTTATCTTTTACTTTCTCGAGTTTAGTTCGAAAGTCTTTTCTTTATTTTTCGGACAATATTAATGTCAACTTGTTTCCATTTTTTGATAAATTATTTTTTTTTTGTAAATGTAACTTTTATTATCTCTCAATCTCGGTCATTCACTTTATCAAGAAACATTGAACGATAATCTTTTTTATGGATTAGATTTTTTAGAACATTAGCTAAATTAACCTGTTATAGTATAACTTTGATATTGTGATAAAGATGCCATTCAAGCTATTTTATTTGCCTAAAATGATGATGCCCAATTCTGACCAGACTATTGATGAACCTCTTTCATTTATTAAATAACATTATGCTAAATAAATCAAATTGATAATTCACGTAATGTTTCAAAAAGTTTCATCCATCAAAAACATGAATTTTCAATGTTTGTTGATAAAATACATGACCGAGATTACGAGACACAAACAGAGCTATATTTACAAAAAAATAATTTATCAACAAATGAAAACAAGTTGACATTAATGTTATCGGAACGATAAACAAACAACTTTCGAAGAAAATTCAGAAAAATTAAAGATAAACAAGCATTTTCGATACTTTAATTTTTGTAAGTCCGTAGTATATGTGTGTTTTGTGTAAACAAAAAGATGTCAGACACAAATCATAAGTAGTACATAGGAGAAACATGAATTTCAAGTTTATCAAAATACTTTTCGATCACTCGTTAGATGATAAAATTTAAATACTTTGAAAATTGAATATTACTGTCTTTGCTGAAATTCTAAACAAGTTTTATGATTTTGAAATTGACATTCGAAATCTGATATATCTTAGTAAATAAACATGAGTTGATTAAATTAAACTTTTAGATTTTTTTCGCACAATATTCTATTTAAAAACGACTAGCCTTTGTGAACTTCATTCATTCTAACCACAACAGATTGATTTTATTAGTCTATAGAAGATGCAACAAACGTCAGAAGCATCATGAAGGAACCAACACTGATTGTGACAGATATAATCGTAAGATCAAAGTCCGCCGAGGATTTATTATTATAATTTTTCTTGGCTTTTCTTTCCCACTTACTAAAATATATTGCAATTAATATCTTTCATCATCACATGCATCAACATTAGGTAATAACTCATAAAACGAAACATTGATTAATCTCCTCTTTGACAATATCAGCAGTTTCATCATGTTTCACATTTTAATCCTGTAATGATTGTACGAACATCTGTTCGAGAAATATCAATTTTTAGTTCATATTTCTAAATAAAACTAGTATTATCTACTAGACAAAATTTTTCATTTAATCGTCTTCTAAGAAGAAAATAATATACATATATATATATTTATTTATTTTTATGCTTCTTTTTCTTCTCTTCATAAACCAACAGAGGAATGTAAGAAAAAAAAAAGAAAAACACCTAATCTATACATGTTCAAATCAAGAAAAACTGAATAAAAAATTTGTCATCAATAAGTTATTTTCTTGATATGAATCATCATTAAAAAAAAGATATATTTATCTCAATGATTAATTATCATCGATAAAACTAGATACAAATTCTTTTGAATTATGTCCATCATTTTTTGATCGTAGGCGATGATCATTATTAATATTACTACGTGTTAGTAATGGTGTATTATTTAATATTGTTGACATTTGTTCACTTCCAAATGATGTTTGATTAATAGTAACATCACTTGCAGTAGTTAATAATTCTTCATTTTCATTTTTCATAAGAACTGTATCACATGTTAGTCCATCATTATCAATTCTACCTTTTGATGGACAATTTTGAACAAGTAAAGATGATTGGACACCATCTATATCATCATCAGATATTAAATTTATTTGAATAGTTGGTAATGTTTCATTTTGATGATTTGTCGGTTCAATTGATAATCCTTTTTGTGATTCATGTACTTGTTCTAATGGTTTAGTATTATCATTATTATTTTTATTATTAATATTACTATTAAATAAACAAGGACAAATAAATGCAAGAAATTTTCTCCAATATATTTGACGTGTATTTAAAACTTGTGGCGGAGAAAATAATATTGTTGTACGACATTTTCCATTACGATTTGGATTTGATGAACGACGACGACGATTTAATGATATACGAAATACAGATAAACGTGTTGATAATGTATCACCACCTGAACTACGTCGTACAGCATCATTACTTAATAAAGTACGTTGAAATTGTCGAACAACTTCCGAACGAATTTCCGTATTAAAATAAAAATAAATAAGCGATGTAAAAAACCCCTTAAATAAATTAATTTTTGTAAACAAAAAAAAACAATCTAGGTAATTAACTATGTTGTGATTATTACCTGTAGGTCACCGAAAATAGCTTTAAATATAACTGCAATATAATACCATATAGTATGACCTTGTTTTTTATGATAAAAGACCCACATAACGAATAATGAATGAAGACCAAATAATGGAATTAATATAAGTATTGATTTAATAAGATGCCTGAAATAATTAATAAGATTAAAAAGAAAAAAAAAATTCATTTCAATCTCCATAAGATTGAAATAGAAAATACAATCGTTTCGGTTTTTTTCTTATAGTCGATGCAATCTACAGAAATATAGAGAAGTTCAAATTTCTTATTTTATACATCAATATTTTATCCAAGTCATGCTGTTAATTGGTTTAAAAGATTGAATACACTAGAAATATCATAAGAAATCTGTTATTGCTCTTTTAATTGCTTGACTGAACTGAAGATGCTTGTAAAGGTCATAAAAACCAGACCTAAAATTGAGCCACTTTTTGATGATTCGAGTTAGTTAACAATGACATTATTAAAGGAACAAATCGAATCAAGACAGTCAATTTTACTGCTTGAAATAATACAGTATAAAAGATAAGTCGATTTATTGATTGAACCAAAAGAAAAAGAAGCTTTCGTGGAATACGTCAACTTCTTGAACACTATCATTTATTAACATAAGCTTTCATGAGTAAAATGTCCGCTAATCAATATCAAAGTGTTAGATTGATTACTATTATTATTTATACTGTTAATTTGAGTACATAGTTAACACTCGTGTTACTTAAGGCAATTAATAGTGTACTCAACCTTATGCATGGATGAGGAATATCAATGAACCGAATAGATGCCCTTCTTTTATTTATTGATTAAATGAAACTTCGAAAATGTTTTCAAAAATAAAGATTCCTGATTGTTATCGATTGCGAGGTGGAAAATCAATGTACGAAAATTTTGACGAAAAATTAGAATAAAATCGATTCTTTTTTTGTGAGTAACAACCGATTAAAATGGTGTTATTTAATTCTAATTTTTTATGTTTAAAGATACATCTCAATTGGTTTTAGAAAACTATTTTTTAAAATCGATTATGAAGTATTTATATCAAATGAAATCTATCTTTAAAGTTAAAAAAGATCAGATTTTCATTGCTTTCAACTAGTATGATTTTAATCAATTTATAGTTAGAAAAAAAAATCAATTAAAATCAAATTTTTTTCGTTTTCTCACGTAAAAACTCTTCTTTGAAGAAAAGAAATAAAGTTCGGACCAAGCGATCCATTTCAAGGTCTGATATAAATAATTCTTTCGAATTGGTTTTCATCTCACAAAACAAAGAAATGGATCGAATGAATAATTTTCTATAGTAATCTAAAAGAAAATCTTATCTAAAATTCTATTCATTTTATCTAATACTCATAGTTTCAATATCGAAAAAAAACAACTCTACTAACCGATTTCCAGTTCGATTTGTTGAAACATAATTTGATCGATATTTTGAATAAAGTAATCGAACAAGAAAAAGAAATATACCAAAATTAATAAGCAAATAAAAAGCATATGGAACATAAAAGAAATAATAAAAATATGTTGTATTATCACCTTCTAACCAACATGTTGATCGACTTTTTAATTTATCTGTTATCATATGCGATGCAATCCACATTGTTAACCAAACTAATGGACTTAACCAACCCCATAAAACAAATAATGTACAACCACGATCACGAAATAAATGACTCGTTAATGCTGTAAATAAAAACATTGCTTCACAAAAGATAAATGTTTGCGCAACAGCATCTGTATACCAAAATAATGATGATAATAAACGACAACCAATAACCTTAACAAAAACATATTTTTAAAAAAAAATATCTATTAAAATCAAACATATTAAAATATACATGAAATAAATTTGATGATTTTGAAAGAATTTCTATATTTCCACATTTATCACGTGTATATGTTATCATTGTATATGTATAACCACCAATGATTATATGTATGAATATGAGTTTAACAATAGAACGAAGAATAAAGGCAAGGAATAGATGCATATGAAGCAGGTTTCGGGGTAAATGCAATCGTCTAAATTTGAGAAGACATCGGCATATAAGCGGTATATTATTAGGAATAACAGAAAAATGAGATATGGGATGTCTCTTTGGTGAACAAACAGGTTGATTTACATTTGAAGGTTTAAGACAAAAAATTTTTACATAAAAATAACAAACATACTTGACATTTATCATGCATAAGATAGCAATCGTTAAAGATATAAGAGATAAACTTAAATTCATTGTTTCAATCATAATACTGATGGAATTAAACTAAATCAAAATAACAAAGAAAAAAATTAAAATTACAAAAAAAGAAATAAACATAAGATTCATTAAAAATTCTTTTACTTTTACAGGTCGACCATTATCAAGACATATTTTACATTGTATATCAGGTGCAACAGTCATTGCCCAAGATCCATTAGATTCACAAAAACGTTGTAATGTACCTATTTTATTCATATAAATTAATTTTGACTTTATAATAAAACAAAAAGAAAAAGAAAAACTTACAATTCTCTATGCCATAACGAACACTATGATAAAAATTATTGAAACCATGATCATATTCAATAGTAGCTGATGCATATGTACCATTCTCTGTTGCTCTCCAACAAACACGAATATCTTCCTCAAATTCGTATGGACATGAATTAAGAGCTGAATAGAATCAATTCATTATATTATGAATGAAGAAAAAAAAAACGATGTACTAGGTAATCCTTGAATAGAACTTAATTGACGACAACGTAAATATTGATGAAAAAGTTTACTCGGTGGAGGCATTATAGGCTAGAAATAATTTTATGATTCATAGAAAATAATATAAGTAAGTAAAATAACTTACTTTGTTTGAAATCGTATTGTTATTAGTTATATTACTTGTTCTCATCGTCTTAATGAAAAGATTTGCATTATGAAAATTTTTTTCCTTTCAAATAATAAAACAAATATTCTGCAAGACACTGTATTACTAAAGAGAATATATCCAACAGTTGTTTAGACAGTTCTTTATAATGTTATCCTATTAAGAATATTAGTCATTTATGATAAGGCCATTTCGTCAAACTAATTGAATTTTCTAAGATAAATACGAGTATCTAAATTTGTATTAATGATGCAATATACAGAAGTAACGCTTTAGAATTTTGTATCTATCTGTTTCTAATGTTCTCTCGAAGAGTTACAATGGCTAATATATGACATTTATTAATAACTCACATCATACAAACCCAAGAGTAGATAAAGTAACCAAGATGTTGTCATTTGTCAATAGTATCTTTAAAATAATATATTAATTCTATAAGAGATTTCAAAAAAAAAAAAAACTTTTCTCAAATAAATCATCAAATCTTTGATATCCTCACCCTATCAGTTTTGCAAGAGATTTATTCTTCTATAACTAGAATAATATATTATTGCTTCTTACATATATATATATATATATTGATGGCATAATGAGTCATACATATATATATATATATTTCCGTTTCGCTATTTTCTTCCAAATCTCGATATTAGATTTTATAATTAGAAAACAAAAAATTTATTTTCTTCTAGTATATAAACAATAAAATTCAAATTATGTTGAATCTTTTTAAATTTCTGGTACAAACTTTTCATAAAGATAAATTTTATTGTTATTGTTTCTGATAAGAATACTTTCTATTTCGACTATTGAATATTTATATTCATCTTTGAGTTACAAAAACTTACGATAAACATTTACGAATGCCAACTGTCATGACATACTGATGTCAATCTAACCAACTGTCGAACTTTAATCATCTACCACATGCAAAGATGTTTTTTATCTAATGCATACATACTTTGTGTTTCGATAATGCTGCTTTGAGATATTTCTGAAATTTAATACAACTAATCTTATTCTATATGTCAATCTTCTTGAATTAAAAAATACAAAAAAAGCACAAAAGAAAAACTTCTTGTCTTTTTCTCTCTATCATACCTTCATTTTATCACTAATTGATAATTTGAATGTTGTTGTTTCAATAATTGTATGGTTCTACAATAAAAAAAAAGCGAATTCCTTTTCGTTTTCGGTTTTTTTTTCTTGAATTTATAAAAACTACACGATTTATCTTTGAAAATAAATACATTTTGTTCTACAAAATTTTCAAATGAAAAACATGCACCGAACTATTTTGTATCGATTTAAATCGCTTTTTTTTTATTCGTCTTCCCATTTATAGTTGTTCTTGTCAATTGAAAGAATTTATACGATTTACCTGTTGAGTTAAGTCTTGTTCTGTAAATTGTATTAAAACAATAATCGTTAATGTCAAATGACGAAGCATGATAATACATAAAAACTTTTTGTTTTTCTTTCTTTACCAAATCAAAAAAGAAATAAAACAAAACAATGTAGTTAGAATTCTGTCCATGACTCTTTTTTAGTCTCAATGATAGTTATATATGTCTAAGATAGTTGGTGTCAATTACGCGTTTGTCGAGCCACACATATAGACTTTGTTTTGTACTTTTCTATCGAGCAATTCTTCTTTTTTTTTTTGTTTAAGGAATAGAATGCATGTGTTACACCCACCAAAGCAAGATATGAAGAAATAAGTTGATAATTGGCATGAAATGCGAATACGCATGCCGTGTTTAGAACTGTTGATTTTTACTGTTTGTACTCAAAATACGATGCATCAGAAACTATGCGAGAAAGAAAGAAGTAATTGAAGAGTTGTGAATGATATCTGTTGTTAGCAACATCACTTCTTGATGTTTGAAGGAAATATAAAGAGAAAGGAAAAGACTTCTAGGTTAATATAAACGATCTTTCATAGGACATTGTGTGTCTCAACCTTCTAGCTACCATGCTATCTTGCTTACTATAAAAAAAAAACAAGTATCTTATCAGTGATGTGATAGACGATAGTTGTTGATATAGATTTTAAAAAAAAAAATCAATTTTCCTTATTCATGTAAATGTAACCATTAAGAACAATAAAAATTAAATTTTTCATCTAATATCATAAATTGAAAAGTTAAAATATTTTTCTCATACTAATTAAGTAATGTTTTTCTTTTTATTTGAATAATTTTATTAAAATTTATTTCAATCAAGCATTGAATAAGATAATAAAAGTAATAATTGAAAAAAGCTTTTGCCTTGATTTGTTTCATAAACGTTTTCTTTTCTTTAGTTTATCTCCTTGGATGCTTTACAATGACAAGAATAACAAAATTGACATGAATGTATTCTACATCCTAGTACGTCGTTTAATGAATTTTCGGAAGCTCTGTATAGAATACTGGGAACAAGAAAAGAAAGACAAAGCAGAGAAAGGCATCCAACTTACATTTTATTCAATATGTATGTGTGCAGCATGATGATGAGCGCTGAATAATGTATTACGCATGGGAAACAGACAATGAAACAAGGAAGATAGGTCTCACAAGAACATTTTTTTCATGCTATTCGATCTATTTGATATTTGATGCTACTTCTATAACCATAGTAGAAAAGATCACACATATATATATATAAAAAAGGAAGATAAGAAGCTAAGACCAAAACAAAAAACAAAAAAAAAAAGACGTAATGGAAAGCATTCTATCGATTCATGAAGAAGTCTATCCATTAAAAACGCGACACAGAAAATCATTATCATATTTATCAAATTCTCGTATGATTAAAATAAATATTTTAAATAATAGACTAAATACTTTATCATTATGTTGTCAATATATTAAAAAAATGATAGCTCAACGTTCACTTTATATTCTTGGACTAGTTAATCTTATTCTTGCTGGTATAGCTATTCTATGTGTAATACAAGCCGAAGATCATCCAGAATATTTTTCACTTGTTTATATTACCATAAGTATATTCATTTTTTATATGGCTACAATTATATTTATTATTATAATACAAGTAATTGAAACATATCAAGAACAACATAAAAAAAATTCTTCATCATTATCAATTGAAATACCATTATTAACACCTAAATTAATAACTCAAACGAATCCAACTCTTGCTGAAAGTATAATAACAAAAACACAACCTAAAACACGTTTATCACGTAGTCATACATTACCATTAACACCATATTCATTAAATTCTCCTTATACATTATCAAATTCAATGTTATTATCAATATCTAAAAATTCTAAACAGATAGTATCAATACCTTCATCTCATTTAGAATTGCTACCTAAATGTAATCAATCAATTGTAAATATTCCAAAAAATTATCAATCATTTGCATCAACAACAAATGATCAATTATGTCAAACATGTAAAACAATAACTAATAATGATAGAAATACTAATTTCTCATCACTTATTAAACCAATTCCATTTAAATATCATAGAAGTATTGAAGATAATACATCACAACATAACTTTTCAGAACAATAAAAAAACAATTATAATTTTGTTCAAATGGACGCTTTTAATTCTATTTCATTTTTTTTAATTTTAAAGATATTATTCATTCAATAAAAATAAAAGATTTCAGTGGTTTGGCTTAACATAAGAAGCCAATGCTTCTAGAATTTTAAATATTCATATAATTATAAAGCGTATATTCTGAAATGAAGCGTCAAACAAGCATAGCGAATCTTACAAATTCTTCAAATGAAGCTTATCATATCCAGACCTAGCAAAAATCACGAACTTCATCAGATATTCTATACATATCTATGATCTGTTTACATTTTATAAATTGCATGACACAAAAATTGAAAGGTGCGAGTTCGACAAGTCAAATTATTTTTTTATCATTTTTTTCTCTCGTTCTGCTTATTTTTATAAAGAAGGTTAACAATAGGTTATTCATAGCACAAGACCTTGTTCTGAATTATTATCACAAAAAAACAAAATATTTTTATTTCATGCATATATGAAAGACTATAACAAGAAAAAGAAACTATTATTTTTTTTTGAATGAAAACCTAAACTTAACGCTGTTTACAAATAAAAAAAATACTAATTAACATTTAAATCAATATCCTATTGTACTTTAAAGATATGAAAATGCAAATATTAGTTTGTGAATAAAACTTGTATGATACAATCTCATTAAGGGTATCACCATCTCGTTTTGTCACCATCATATAGTCTGAAGTTGTATCTATCTACGAGGTGCATTTTGAGATCCAAAAACTGTGCATTTTTTCGCATTTTTCTCAAATCAACTTAATGTGTGTTTCACAGTACCTGCCATCTATTAGCTTTTTTATTCGAAGAAAAAATAATAAAAAGTTTTCAGCTCGATCGAAGATAGTATCTCGAAGAAAACAGGGATGTAAATAGGGGTCATTGTGATCCCAGTATCTCATTGAAAGCAGTATCCAGGTACTTTGAGTTTATGACAACTTTTTCTCTACTCTCCAAAATCTAGCTACCCTGAAAATTTCAAAATTTGTTGATAAGCCGTTTTCGAGAAATCTTGAAAAGAGAGAGGATACTCTTAAAAACTGCTTTGAAAAAACACATGTTCCATTGGTACTCATGTAGTGGTAGCACATGATTTTTCTAGCAAGTCTATGAAAGAATTAATATAAATTAAGATTATTGATAAAATACTCTTCTTGCAGAAAATCATCTATTTCTAAAAATGATTTTTGTATTGTATTATCAACTTTTGCTATTTTTAATGAACGACTCGAGTCAAATTACATTCAATTTTCAAGACAAAATCTTTAAACAAACGCATGCGATGGACTTACTCTCAGTCTTAATTGAAACTATTAATTGAGATTTAAGACTTAATAATAAAATTTGTCAATCAAGATGATCTTCTTATTTAAAATATAAAACTCTTTAAATTCTATTGAACTATATTTCATTTAGGACTCTGAAAAAAAACTATGAACAGCTGATGAACGTTCATCAACCGTAGAACCTAGTTGTGCCATTGTGATTCGATTAATATCTGTTCGTCGTAATGATGATGATCTTCCATCCTTATCAATCAATACATTCATTGAATTTTTCGGAACAATCGTATGTCTATTATCAATTATTTTTTGTTGTTCTAATTGTTGCTTTAATTTTAGCTGTCGTTGATCATTCAGAATACTACAAACAATTAAACTAAGCAGAAATATTCCACAACCAATAAGAATATAAAGAAGACGTATAAGTCGACGATGATTTGAAATAGAATTATTTAATTCACCATAAAGAAAACATTGAGCAGAAAAATTCTTATATTCATGTAAAGCAATACCAATATAAATAAAATTTCTTTGATATACATTTGGTAAAAGATGAAATTTATGAAAAATATCATTGTGAATATTACTGCCACTGAGATAAATTCTTTCTTTGACTATAGTAGAGATTAATAAAAGAAATTTATTTACATAGGACATACCAAAAGTTTTTTTTTGTCAGACTCTTCTAGAAGCTTGTGATTCCAGTACAACTATTCTAGTATGATGCTTAGATATATATATAGGATTATGTGCAAAATTTCAGACTTAGAAGTCTTGAACTTTATTGTATTTGTTTTTGCATTTCTTTCAGGCTAAGGATAAAGTATTTTCCACATGTATTGCGAATTCTCACGAGAACACTTTCTAAGTATGTTTTCTATATGACTAGTAAACTGGTTTAACTTGCAAAAAAATTTGTGCCCATTTAGTAGGATCATGAAAAAATTTAACACTTTCAGATCGTATATCAATCAATATGTTTCATTATTTTCAATAGATTATTATTCAGTATTGAATATATAACCCATTCAGATGATTCTTCGACTGATCTAATCGGAATAACTTTAAATGCTGTTTCAGCAATTATTGAACATACCAATTAATAGAGAATGCTTTGAGCATCATGGTTATTTCAATTATACTTGTCTGTTTCAATTTCTACAAAGTTTTGTGCTTGATGAGTGTATTATTCACTCATTGATAATAGAAAGTAGATTCATATTCGATTGGGTCGTCATTTGCTAAATACTTTTTGAAGAATCAACTTCCGTTTGTCATTCTACATTCTTATTAGGGATCGATCAGAATTTTCTCATAATGATAAAAATATAATATAGTTGAAAGTTGGAGCGTTACAAATTAGTACTGCACTTTAATGATATTTTTTAAATGAATGCCGTGTAAAGAGAAAAACTAATTTTCAATTTTAGACTTGAAACTTTGCTTAAAGACAGGCATTATAGATAGGATAGGAACAGATTAAAAGACCTAAAACTTTCACAAAAAAAAAACATTCTTGTTAAGACCTGTCTCTATGCAAAGTTCTGAGTCGAGATTCGAAAATCAGCTTTCATTTTTATTCATTTAAAAATATCATAAAACTACAGTATATCCGTAGCAATAAACTAAGAGCCCGAATTCTTGTCGGTATATTCGTTGTTTATTTGAGTCTACGTAATGTACATAGTCTCGACTCAAAAAAAAAACGATTAAACAGTTTGAAGACTTCCCTCGTCAGACAAATGAAGCGTGCCGATTTTTTTTACAAAAACTAGTTTGACTACGTTCCTACCATTATAATCTAATAAACGAAAGCTAGTCTATTAATAACCAGTTACTACAAGTTTTCAAACTGTATCAGCAGAGGAATAGAAGATTGTTCTTGTAGTTCTGAATCTTCAGCATAAAAATCCAAGACTGCAGAAAACCTAGAATATTAACTGATTTTTCGGCAGAATATCATATGAAATCGCATTCAAATCTAGCACATCCGCTAGATCTGAATCCATATTATTTCTTTCTGCCTTCGAGGCTCATACCTCAACTACATGAAAATGGAATTTAACACTATCAATACAATGTTAACTGTGTTAAAACAATTTATAAATAGCCTCAGAAAAGACGATTTCAAAAACAATGTTCATAACTTGGTTTAATCGAATTCACAAATGCATTCTTCATGAAGAGTAATGAACTAAAACGAAATTGTCGAATAGTTGTTTAAAGGACTGACCAAAAAAACTTTTGGATTATCCCTGATATAAAAAAATATTTTCTACCATGAGAAAAAATTTTATTGAGTTGTTCTTGTCTTGGCCAATCATCATCTCTATATGTATTGGCTGACATTCTTTGATACGTTTCAATTAATTGTTTTTGATTTGTACAACGCTTTTCTGCAGCTAATTGTAATGTTAAATGTCTTTCAACATTTGATAAACCAAAATTTTTTCGTTGTCGATTTATTTCATCAAATAAATTTTGTTCATTTTTATTTTCGAATAAACATGATAAGAAGACAATTTTTACAAAGAAAATAAAAACGATGAGCAGCATGCATATGGAGAAAAAAAAACAAAGAATGGTTTTTTTCTAAATTTTATCTGCTTAGATACAAGAGTTATTATTATTATGCTTTGTTTATTTATATTTAAAAGAAAATAAAACAAGATTTATTCTGTTTTTTTTCTGTTTTTACCATTTTATTATCGATCATTAGGTAAAAAACGTGCATTATTAAGTTTTCCATTTGAATTATTATTGGGATTACTTATATTAGCAGCTGCTATGCGTATCTGCATTTGACGATAACGAACTAAAACAAAAAAAGGAGATTAAATCTATTAATAGATTTCCTGTTTTTTATTTTTTTTTACTTTGATCAATTAAATTTGAAGTACCATAACCATCATTATACGCTACTTGATTAATTCGCATTGGCTGTTGTTGCTGCTGTTGTTGTTGTTGTTGTTGCTGCTGTTGTTGTTGTGCAGTAGTTAATAAGCCAGGAAATATTTCGTTTACAGTTCCCGGTACTCCAGCTGCTTGCTAAAAAGGAAAGAAATATTTTTTTACTTTTCAAAACATACAAAAAAAATTAAACGATATTTAGACATAACACTTATTTACTAAACATTTTAGATTCTATATGAGAGAAAAATAGATAGTTGCTTGTTTATCATAAGTGAACTAATTATCTTCATTTTGTCGGAGGTATAACTGGAACAATTAATTTTTTAATCTGCATTCGAAAATGATTGTTGATAATGCTTGCAGTCAAATATTATATTCTTATGAAAACTGTTCAGTATTTAATAGAATACACTATGAAAACAATGATGGATAATATCTGTTCAAAGTTCGAAGAACACTTCACTATTTATATATAATGACTTTTCATAGGTCATCGTTTGACAATATGACACAGAGTGCGAATGAAAATAATTTTCATTTTACGAAAGCTTTTTCTTCACGGTATATACTTTGAGTAATGCCAATCGTTTTATTATAATAGATATTTCATGTCATTATCCATGTAATCATAGAGAATATATTAAATAATAATAAGTTCTCAGTTTTTATTTACAGATTATCCCAAAACGATATATAATGAGTAACTATCATGCAAGCAAGTGTCCCCGTTCAACTGTTTCTCCTAAGAACTATCCTTGACTCTTAGATAGATAAGAAAGAAATAATATATAAAATTTTTAGTGCGATCGATTAATATTATCAACATATTCTATTATCATTTTCTACGATATATATCGTAAACGACACAATGTTGAACATTCATTAAGTAGAAAATGAGTCATAGTGAAGCCTCTCATTCATCTTTCAGATTTTTTTTTTATTTTGATTTTCTAAATATTATAAACTTGTATCATGTTATTACGAAAACTATATGGAACACTTTAGTGTTCAGTAAATAAATGGATTACTTTTCTTTAAACAGGATTTAGGAATATATCAGAATTCCTAAATCGATACATCTAAGCAACGGAAAAAGAAAAGTTCTTCAGAAAGATGACACATATAAAAGTACATTCTATATTTGAACGAATGTTTAAATATGATGTGAAAATTACAGTAAACATAAGACAAATAAAAAAAAATGTTTCTTAAGCAATCAGAAATTCTAATAAATGGTTATTAAAGTAATTTGACAAAATGTTCATTTATTTTTTAGTCTCTTAAAGAAGCCTACAGAAATTCGAAAACATTAAGGCAGAATTAATCTTTTATATTGTTTCCGACCTTAGTTTCAAAATTTCTTTAGAATTTTTGGTTTTGGATGTTATGAATCCACCATCCAAAGGTGCAAAAATTAAGTTGAGACGGAGAAAATTGACATTCTTTTTCATAGAGGGAAAGACAAGACAGTTTTCTATAACGTAGTATAAGACTCAAGAGTTTCAAAACAATCATTCAGAAATGATTGAGCTCATTTCGCATGTCTGTTTTTCTTAGAAATCGAAAAAATTGCCTAAATTGACATGGTATCTCTTACTAAAATACTCCCTGTTGACAAATAATTATTAGTATACCATTTTATCGAGACATGTTTGCTTTTTCGTTCGCTATATTTGAAATAATTTTCGAATCGACCTGGGCGAACTTTTAGAATGCTGAAGTTCGTGCAAACTTAATTTGTGGATCCCTAAGATGCCTTCTCAGAACTTCTAAGCGAGAAGTCCTACAAAACATTCCGAATCTAAATCAATTCTCTCAAATTTCTGCAAGTTCGGAACTAACTCGATGGGCTTTACGATTCGATCACCCGTTCCTCAATATTCCTGATATGAACATATGTTCCAAAAAGCCAGTTACTAATTAATCATTCTAAAAGAAAGGCACCTACTGAAGTTTCAGCATAATAAATTTCTGCTCGAAATCGATCTTCTTCCGTAATAAGTTGTTCATCAAGTATTTGTATTTGTGGTAATCGATATGTAATAAAAAATCGATAAATTGTTTTACGAGACACCTAACAAACAAATATATATATATTATGTTTTTTTTTGAAAAAAGAAAATTTATTTTACCGGATTATTAATAAGAGATAATTCACCGAGACAAATAAGTGGTGTTAATTTTTCTATTTCTGATATTTCCTTGAAAATAAAAATTTCAAAAATAAATATTTTTCTACTTGATAAAATATTTACTTGAACTTTATTTGAACCCAAAAAAAGTTTTTCTAATTTAATCATACGATCAAAATAAGATAATTCTCGTATACGATTTTCTTCTAAATGTAATTCAACAAGATTTGTTTGAAAGAAAAATGATGTTTCCGTTATAACACGAATTTTATTTTTATCTAAGACTAATTCACGTAAATTACGTAATGCTTCAAGACCTTCAATTTTTGTTATTTCATTTCCTAGAAAAAAAAAACGAATAATAATTTTAAAAAATATTAAATTCTTTGGTTTTTGCTATTAGAAAAGAAAATTTAACCTTGAAGAAATAGAGATCGTAATGACGGAATTTTATTTAATTGAAGTCCAATAAGATCAGTTATATTATTATAACTAAATAGATATTTTCAAAATTTAAATAAAAATTATTTCTTGTTTTTTTTTTATGAGAAATACTTACGCCAAATGAAGAACTTCAAGATTTTCTAAAACAACTCGATTATCAACATTTTCAATAATAGGTTTTCCACGATTATCAACTCGAGGTCTTGATGGTCGATAAAGAATACTTTCAATACGATTATAATTTAAACAAAGTATCTAAAATAAATTTAAAATTAATTGAAGAATACTTTATTTAATGATTAAAATTAACCTTTAAATTAGGTAAATGAATAAGACCGGAAAAATTTGTTAATTGATTATGTTCAAGATTAACACATTTAAGTGCAAGAAATTGAATATTTAATTCAACACCACGAATTGAACATTGAGGTAATTCAAGTTGTTTTATTTCTAATAAATAGAAAATCGTTTTTTTTTTCAATTTCTTCTTCTTTATTTACAAAAAAGCTGACGTTTTCTATTTCGAATGAACTAATTGAGATTCAAAAAGAGCAACCTGGACCAAGAAAAACTGATTTTACTCAAAATAATAAATACTCATTGATGATTAATGAATAATTAATTAATGACAAATGCTATTGAAATGTTTGCTGAACAAATCAAAAGAGATGATTGGCTAGTTCTTTCAAGCTGGAAAGTGTCACACACAAACCTATTTATCAATGTTCATTTACATACTCTAGAAAAATAACAGATATAAGATTTGTGGAGTTGACGTTAAAGACATATTAGAAGACTCCAGGCTTCTATTGTGTTCGCACAATTCCAGTTTTTCGAACAAACCATCACAGATGATATTAAATTTGTCTTGATCAGGTTCATAGATTAATAAATCCTTATTTCTTCTACTCGCAATATCATGATATTTGTGGGATGTAAGTGTGTTAATCTTCTCTTCGGTAACACTCACATTCAAATCGTAAAACTATTTGCTTTTGCAAGTCGTTTTTTTTTTCTCTTGACACTATTATCCGTTTGTCAAAAAGGCGAATTTTTAAACCAGTCAATTTAAATAACGAAAAAAATTTAAATACAAATTTCATTGTCAATTTTCTCTATTATTATAAGTTTATATTCGAATACTTATAAGCAAACTTTTAAAAATCGAATAATTTTCTTAAGAACATCTATAAAAATTCGTTTTTTTAAACAAATATTTACCTGAAAAATTACTATGTCCTAATTTTTCTACAATAAAATCAGGTGTCAATTTTCCACCAAATGTTTCTCGAGCTTCACCACTTTCTATATAAAAACAAGAAAAAAAATCAAGAAAATCTTAATTATATTAATTAATAATGAAACCTTGAATTTCCACAGCATAACCATCAAAAGCTCGTAATGCTTTCAAATGATAAATAATAAATAAACGATATTTTTCTGCTTCATGACATATTGGATTACCCCATAAATCTAATATCAATAAATTTGATAATGGCTAAAATTTTGAAAAAAAATCCATTTAAGAAAAAAAGTACACATAAAAAAATATCATCTTACTTTTAAATGAAAAATATCTCGAATATTTTTTATTAAATTATTTCCAGCATATAATTCAATTAATGTTAAAGATCTACCTAATTTTATTAGACTATGTAATCGATTATGATCAATTGCTAAATATGTTAATCGTATAAGATTACTTAAAATTTGTCCATCAAAATCCGTTATTTCATTTTTAGAAACATTTAAACGTCTTAAACTTGTTAAATTTTAAATACCGTCAATAATTGTTAAAAAAGTA